CCGCCGGCCACGCAACTCAATGCTGAGAAGATAGAAAATAGTATTCTTCAACCTACTGCCAGCGGCACTCTGTCGCGCCATCTTTGACAATGGCCCTTGATGCCCAGTCCTCCACTTAGCTTCACTGAAGGTCAAAACGCTGTCTTGATATCCAGCAATTTGGAGATTTGGGTATCCAAAATTGCAAGAGATTGAACTATCTGCCTGGCAAGCCTGACACTCTCAAAGCTCACATCTCTGATGAGCGCAGGCAACACAGGGATTCCTATACAAAACACTACAGCTGCAATTGCTTCTATACAAGCGTATCAATGCGTATCAACGCTCATAGGATGGAAATCCCACGTCAGAATCCGTTCTCACGCCGAAGCCTGTCTCTCTCCTGAGCTTGGCACCACCACAAGCACTGTCTAAAGCCATCTGCCGTGCAACAATTGTAAGCCCCAGATGCGAAAGTGAGAAATGTGATCAAAACATATCAAAACCTTCTTGCGTAAAGAGCTGCCAAGCCTCTCAATCATCGGCCCCTCATGTTCATTCTCATCTTCATCCACTCCTTCCTCTTCCAACTCCAAACCCCTCACAGTCCCGCCGGCACCGTCTGGCTGCGATCCACCCACCTTTTTCAGCTGCGGCCGGCGCTTCCGGGGGATCCGCCGCAGCGCTGCGTCGATGAGCGCCGCATCCTCGTCCAGCGCCAAGATGTGCACGTCACGGCGCAGTTCGAAGCCTCAGGCGCCCGGTGGCCCAGGCGAAATCCAATAAAAAGTTGAAGTTGACAAACCAACGCACCAAAATCCGACCGACACCAGAAATTGCAGTTTGAAGCCAATATTTGGAGGCATATTCCTTTAACTCTCAGACAGCACAACAGAAGGCTCATGTGTCAATTGATCAACCACGCTACCATCCGCAGCTAGCTGATGCAATTCAAGCAGTTGCTCTTCTGTGCACGGGACAAAAAGGATCTTGACGGGATTCTCAGCAGGGTCCACACCTCGTACGTTCTGCTTGGAAGAGGAAATGCAAATCTTGGAAAAGCAATGTGAAATGTAGAACGATTGACAGGACTACTGAAGCAGCCGAGACACTGCATCCGGCCTCTCTTACACGATCGTGTAAGGCTTTCAGGGGTCCATTTGGATCGAAGAGGAGGTCAGTAACGTGATCAGCATTGGCAAAGGACTTCAATCTGAACATTCGGACACCGTCCATGTTGTTCACAGGCGGAACATCATGCAGGCTCGCCCGTTTGGCTAGCATGAGATGCATGAACTCGTCGGTCGCCTTCTCATCCACTGCCTCAGAGTCTGCTTGGTCTCTCTGGCGTGTCTCTTGTGAATCTTCGTTGCCGCTCTCCTCGCCGTGGGGGTGCCCACCAAACAAGGAAGTGCGTCCCGAGCTGGCAGCTGCTTGAGATGAAGTCCTCCCAACTTGCGGTGGGCCAAGCCGCGAAGTGCGCGACTGGCACCAAGCACTTGCCTCTTCCCACAAGTCTAAACCCTGGATGATCTTCGGCACATCCATAGACATAACCACCACCTCATCGACCATTAAAGCTGGAAAAGGTCTTCCCTGCAAAAGCTTCTTCATCAACTGGTAGATGGCAATTCCTTTGGCCGCAATCTCCGATTTCCACACCTTTGACAGCGCCGCGTGGGCCGCTGCCGTCGCCGCAGGCCGCCGCTCAGGCTCCGCATCCAGCAGACCGTCCTCCAGCAAGAGTTTGCTGCCGTGGTCCGACAGCTCGACACCCTCGGTAGCGAGCAAAGCCGCGCAGTCGGACTGCCCAAAGAGAATCGCACAATCCAAGAGTGACAGACTCTGAATACACATATAAAAGTCATCGGCGTAGGGATATGTCACATTCAAAGCAGCCAAGGGGACTTGAGCTCTCTGAGCGATTTCCAGCAGGTCTTTGCACAAATAGGGCATCTCAATCTCGCCAATTCTGTCCACTTTGAGGAAGAAATCACCGAAAACGTTCTCTTCTGGTGGCACCCATGGAGTGTCAGGTGGCGGCAGCAGGTCTGCAAAGTCGGTCCAAGGAGTTCCCGTCAGAGCCACAGACACTCGGAAAGGAATCGGAGTCCGGCCATAAGATTTTTGCAGCCCTTGGAGCTCCACACCGGCCGAGAGGGCCGCGAGGAGCATGCCACGATCTCGAAGCTCCAAGAAGCGGGAACTCAACCTCATCTTAGTCTCCAGGTCTGAGCATGGATCAAAATAAGTCCGGAAAATCTCCTCCCAGCTCCAGCGCCGCAAAGGCCGGAGACGGGATCGCTCCGCGCAGCGCACGGCAGCCTCCCTGTCGCCAATCAGGACGGCGATGTCCAGCAAATGCGTCATGGCCTCATCAGAAATGGCGAGAGCGTGCGGCACGGCCTTGGAGCGAAGCACCTCCAGGACGGTGCGCACCAAGGGCTGCTCCGCTGTTCGGCGGGCAGCTTCCGCGGCATTTGAGAGATTTGAGTTCCAGTCCGTCATCCAAATGCCCTGCTCGACTGGGAAGCCGAAGCAGCACTGTTCACAGGTCTCCCAATCGTCTATGCAATTGCCGCAGCCCCACCAGTCGATATCCCTGTCATGGCAATCTCTCTTCAGGTGATAGGCCTCCAATCTGCAACCTTCAACTCCTCTCTCAGCCATGGCCCATGCTGTGTCAAAGTGGCCAAACGTCAGGCATAAATCGAAGAGATGCACTGGGTTTGCTGCCCAGTGGGAAGGCACCGGCACAGGTTGGCTCAGAAGCTCTGCGCGGCCTTCCAGCAACGCCTGGGCTATCTGGAATTCCTTCACTCCAAGAACAATCTCTGGGGAAGAATGGCTGTAGCAAACAAAATCCACCACTACATCCATCCTTCAAGGACTCTGGAAAACACTGGATTTCGGCGCCCACCTACCTTGTTCTGAGATGAACAGCGAGCCAACGCAACCGGCACTAAAATTCCAGGTGTGATGAGTGTTCAACGCCCAATCAAACACTACCAAAAAGCTCATGGCTACAGAAACCCATAGAAAACCTGCTTGGGGGGCCGACTAGCTCAAAACTTCCTTGACTCCACAATATGATACCGGACCCATTGATAGCTATTCTCTGACAAACAGCCACTCAAACATTGAAGTCAAACTCAAACCAAAGAAATGTCACCATCTCCGGTTGCTAACACTCGCCAAAAAAGACTGGACACCATGCCCGGCCGTTCGGACACTCACTCGATCATCGTCCAAACCGGTGTTTGTGACATGTGTGGGGTAGATTGAAAATTGTGGACAGAGTTCCTGCCGAAGAGCTCTTCAAGCTTACTCCTTGATATTTGTTCTAAAGGGTTCCTCACTTCGAGGAGACAAAGGGGCAAACCATAAGACCATGTTCTGCTCATGATCTGTTGAACCGCAATAAATCTTCAGAGCTAAAGAAATTGTTGACCAAAACAGGACAGGAAAAGACTGGCTTATATAATTTGGCTGAATGGCTTGATATGGTCTCGGGCGCGTTTGAGGTTGATTGGCCTTCCATTCTTCGATGTGACATCGAATGCAGAAGTGATGCGAAAAGCAGCTAGGCAGAACAACAAAAATACTGTCTGTCCTGTCCGTATGAAACCCATTGGGATGACTAGAATGCTTCGTCATCCAAACACGTCTCAGTTCCTCAACCTCCTCGACCTCCTCCAACGTCCAGGCTCGCCTCGGCTCCAGCCAGGGCGCCAGGCGGCTGGGCGTCTTTCAAACGCCTCAGAGCCTGACAGGAGCCAAAAAGCAAGAGTGGTTCTACGACTCCCTGTGAGAAAACCAGCCCCGAGGCTCAGAACAACAATCGCACCAGCCTCATCGACTGGATCCAGCCCGCTCCAAGCAGCATAGCAGGAAGGTACCACCTGGATGTGGTGCCAAAGGCAGCTGAGGGATTCACGTGTCCACCCCATATCTTAACTAGGCCACTTATTGGAGATCTGGAAGCAGCATCCTCCAGAACAACTTTGTGTTCCTTCATTAAAAGGACCAATGCCAGTCTCTTTTCCTACAGATCTGCACGTCTCAACAGCCTGCTAGCTAGTACGTCCAAAGCTCTCGACTCTGGTCCGCCAACCACACAGATTCGTGCTGAGACCACTCAGACCTCATGGTCCTTTCTCAGCGAAAATGAAGAAAGGTCCTACTGGCTCAACCATGGCTTTTGGCGCAAGGTCAAGCGTCCAAAACTGTTTGAGTCTAAATTGCCTGCCCATAAAGGGCCTGGCACTCTCAGGGCTCATGACCCTGATTAGCGCCGGCTGCATGGGGATTCCTGTACAAAGAAACGTGTTCTTCCGGCAGCTTCGTCCACACGTCCAAAGCTCAGGGCTCTGGTCCGCTGACGAAGGTGATGGAAGTGGACGGTTTGGTGTAAGGATCTCGGAAGTTGCAAGCAAAGGAGCACAGTCATTCAATAACTATGAGGGGAGGAGGAACAGATTGTTTATGTCAATGTTTCTCTGGGCTGTGGCCAGAACCGTCTCTGATATTTACTTCGATTCCGAGTTGAAGTTTTAGCTTCAAGCGCTCAAGTCTGCCCCTTCCACTGGCAACCCTACTGACTACGTCCCTAATGCCTTCACTCCCATCTCAAGAACAAGATTGTTTATGTGGAAGGGAAGACACACTGAGAAGGCCGTGCCAAAGCCATGGCACGGCTAAGAACTGAACAAAACAACAGCAGAAGCAAGAAGGAAGATAGGCAGTATGCTTTGCACACTGATTCAAGCCGGCAAATGGCATCAAAAACTGCCCAAACATCTCTTCAAACGTGCAGCCCTCGCACTAACAAGGCTCAAGGCTCTGCATAGAGCTCAGGCAGAACATACTGTGAGATGTTGATCTGTACAATAAGCACTGCAATGGAGTCGGTCTTCACTCCAACGTTCCATAGTCTACCTTAGATGGACTTTCTAGCAACAAGAGTCCTCAATCCTCAACATTCAAACCAACTCAACAGAACAGAATCAAAAATATCTAAAGGAAAAGGAAGGAACAAATGGTTAGAACATCAGAGGGAAAGTCGGCCGACTCTATAGCCGAGTCTCTCAATCAGGCTTCCTCTTCGTGAGGGTCCGCCTGCAGTGCCAAGTGCAAGCACACAGACTTGCACCAAGCTTTTGCCTCGTCCGACAGATCCAAATCATTGATGATCCTTGGCACATTGAGGGATAAAGCCATGACCTCATCCACCAAACAAGCTGGAAAAGATCTTCCCTGAGAAAGCTTCTTCATGGCTTGGAAGATGGCGATTCCTTTGGCAGCAATCTCCGATTTCCACAGCTTTGACAGCGCCGCGTGGGCTGCTGCCCTCGCTGCCGGCCGGCAACCCGGATCCAGAGCACCACTCGCCCGCAGAAGTTCGCGGCCGTAGTCCGACACCTCTGCGCCCGCGCGAGCAAGCAAGGCCGCGCAGTCCGATTGCCCAAAGAGAATCGCAATATCCAAAAGCGATAGCACATCGGAGCGTCCCCTGCAGTGCACTTGGACCTTGAAACCAGCTAAGGAGATTCCAGCTCTCTGAACGTTTTCCAGCAGATCTTTGCACAAATGAAGGGTCCTGCTTCTGATGTCCACCTTGAGAATAAATTCTCCGAGCCTTGGTGGTGGCACCCACGGAATTTGAGGTGGTGGCAGCAGATCTGCGAAATCGGCCCAGGGGGTGCCGGACAGAGCAACGGCCACTCGGAAAGGAACCTCTTCAAAATGATCCAACCTTATGAGACTTTGGAGGCCCTGGAGCTCCACACCGGCTGCGAGAGCTGCCAAGAGCATCCCACGGTCGAAAAGCTCCCAGGTGCCATACCGCATTACGATCTCGTGTTCTGCCGTTGAGTGGGACTGAGAACCATCTGGCAAAAGATCCAAAATCCCATGCCAGGTTCACCGCCGCAAAGGGCGGAGACGGGATCGCTCCGCGCAGCTCATGGCCGCCTCTTTGTCGCCGATGAGGACGGCGATGTCAAGCAAGTGCGCCATGGCCTCTTCGGAGATGGCGAAAGGAAGTCCAGCAGAAGTCCGAAAAGCCTCCAGGAGTGTCCGAGCCAAAGGCTGGCTGGCGGTCCGGCGTGCAGCATCCGCGGCATCCGCAAGATTTGCGTCCCAGTCATCCATCCAAATGCCGTCTGGGAAGCCATAGCAGCACTCACCGGCACAGGTCTGCCATGTACCTCTGAACCGGTAGGAGTTCTGGCGATTAAACTGTCGGTTGAGGTGATAGACCTCCAACCTGCAGCCTTCGACTCCACCCTCTGCCATAGCCCAGGCAGTGTCGAAGAGACCAAAGGTGAGGCACAGATCGAAGAGATGCACTGGACCCCACTGAGAAGGCACCCTTTGGCTGAGCAAATTCTGGTGGCCATCCCTCAACGCTCCACCCAATTGGAACTCCTTCACCCAAAGAATCATCTCCGATGTTCCGGCATAGCACACAAAGTCCGTAGCCGCTGTGGCCTCCATCCCTCAAGCTGCTAAAATGCCTTGATCACGCAAAAACCCGCCCATTCACTCCTGACAAAACTTCGAGAAACCTCCAATTCGCTTCAAAGACCTTTAGGGTGGTTTGAAAGAGAAGAGAACACGATCCTGAATCACGACTCATGACACAACAACTCCAACCTGACTACCAGCTGTCTTTCCTAAGCTCTTGTTGACATCCTTTTGCCGAAATCCGCCACTCCGGCCTTCCACGCCAACCTCGCCCCAAGAAAAGGCGGCAGAACTCCACCTAAACATTAACATCTATGCAAGACTTCTTTCAAGTGTGGCTTGGCAATCTTCAATTCATCACCCTTCTCACCTCTCACTTGGGGATCATTGAAGGGAGAGCAAGGGGGTCTGACCTGGCATATGTGCGCTACCTCTTTCTGCGGGGTTGGAGGCAGAAACATGTTGGGGGCACCAAAAAGGGAAGGTTGAAGCGTCTTGGAAGTCCCCCAGGCAAGTGAAAAAAGGATAGCTTGGAATGTCTCTTTCTGCACCTAGCATGGCCTCAGATGTCTTTCACGCAAAAAAGAGCAGTCAAATTCCAGCATCTACCTATCTGCTCAGAAGGTTCCAAATCGGGGTATGACTCCTGACTCTGAAGGAAATGGCTAGACATCAGACTGTCATGTCAACTACAGTAATGACCCAGGAAGCTAGTGGCAAAATTTGGGTTCCCAGGACAAGGACAAATGGAGATCTTCTTTCTCAAGTGAAAACTCAAAGAAAACAAGTTCAAAGACCCTTCAAGCCAGAGAAACCAAACATTGCTGGAGGATCCAGGCCTCTCTTTCTAGAATATCTTCTTTCAATTGCAAGCTTTAGCCTGGTTTTGACTTGCTCCAAGAATCAGGGCATGAGAGTGAATCGACATTATAGAATTGTCTGCCAACATTCAAAAACCGGGAATAGACGACTTGGGAATATCATAACTCATAACAATATCTGACTTGCTGACAAAGGCTTGGGCAGTCGATGTTCGTTGGAGAGACAGCTCAAGGCGTTGTTCCAGTGCCATGCCTCCAGCAATGACAAGGAAGCCGTCGATAGGGGGCCTGCCGCGTGCCCAGTCTGGCAGAGGCAAAGAAGCGAGGGTCATTTGAGTAACTTTACTGGAAAGGAAGACATGTTGAGCACCGGAACGAATTTTGTGGAAAACCTGTAACCTGGGAATTGTCTAGGTAAAGGAGCAGAAGTTACTATCATGCTGTTCCCTCTCAGCAAATCAACCGAAAGCTTGTGGTGGCTGACTGATAGAAAGTCGAAGTTGGTTCAAATGATGGCAAACAGGTTGAATTGGGTGTAAATCCCGGTGTCAGACTCAGACAAGGTTCGCAAATGGCATCGTCGCTAAATCGACATTCCTTGCGCGCCGCTTCTTACTCCAAAATCTACGGCAACCAGCAAGAACAATCTTGAGGGCCAAGCGGGGCCAGGCGAAAGGTAGCTGGGCGGGGAAGGGTCCGACCTCTATGTGGGTTGTGACGGTATCTGGGTTTGGGCAGCTTGGATGACTCAAGTTCCGATCGCCGCCAGAAAGTGCTTCAGACTTCTTCAGGCAAGGCCAAACACTTTTCTGAGGAATCCGTCGACGTCGTAGTCTTTGGGCGAATGTATCAGAGATCTGTGATGATCCGTGATCGTTGATCCCATTCTCGCATATTTATCAAAGAACCGGTGACTTATCCAGCTTGTTTTGGACAACGAATGGAGAAACAGCATCTAGAGACTGGATGTGAGTGGGGACCGCTATAGCAGCTACATATCCAATAGAATCGCTGCCTAAACATCAATTTGCAAAGGAGTGGGATTCCTTCCTGCCTATACATTGTACTAACAGAACACAAAACGTCCTTCGTCCTTGCTGGGGATCCTGGCTGCGGCGCTTGGCATCTGTGTGCATTGTGTTCTGACAAACCTCCGGTTCGGCCTCAGCATGCGACGGGCGAAGAACTTTGTAATTTGCCAACACCCACTTCCGCATAATCACGGTGCCTAGGTTGCCTCGAAGGGACCACAACGCAGCTGTAAGTCATGACTTGCCCACCATTCAACTGACCAGCATGGAGGCTCTCAAGCTGCTGAAAATGCTATCGATTCATATTTGGTAGAGAAGAGCAATCGTTTAAAGAGCCTTTCAAGAGTCAACCACAGACTTGCCTGCGCTGTACAAATGTCATCTCACACACGTCAAGAAACTCCTTCTCCCCCTTGAGCAGGCCAACTCTTGTAGGAATGCGTGATGCCCCTATGAAGAGTAGAAAAATAACACGAATGTGCTCTTGAGAACTCTCAGAGTAAAGATGAACATAGGGCCACCAGCAACGTCCAAACCAAAGGCAAAGAATTCTGATTGTCAGCAGGCCTGCGTGGTGTTTTGTATAGTCAAAGCACTGCCCTCCAGCTGAACGAAATAGGTGTGGTGTCCTGCCAATCGAGAGAGCCAAGCTGGGTGAGACACTAAAAAGCCATCTGCACACCTTTTCACACCCACTCATGGTGCCCATGCTCGTTGAAGGACAAAATTATTAGAGTGGCCTTGGCTTTTGGCCGGCTTGTATCGAACGGGTGGTATCTGAAGAGGGACTGTCGGAATGATTTGTTCGCCTGGGCCTTCAGCCCCCCCTGACAAAGCCGAAGGGCAACTCCCTAAGCTGAACATGAGTGGGAGCGACGTCCTCGAGATCACCAAGGAACTTACTTAATTGCGAATATTCCAAGAGCAGGTGCGACTTCGACTCGAGGGAGGTTAGCATGCCGCTGGCTTCCGTCCTTGGCGCCTCCCTCGGCTCTGCTGCCTGGAGTGTGAAAAAGGGAGGATCCCAGGCTCTTCACAAAGCTGTCCAAAGGTTTTTGGGATCGATTCATCGGTTCTTTGGCTCGTGACTTATGGACTTACATTAGTTCGTCTTGGTGCACATGGGATCTTTCAGTCCACCTTCTCCGGGAAGAAACGACATTCAATTCTACCTGTTGAGAGGGGTACTGTCGCCGCCAAGTCGTTCGGGCTGGAGTGTCAGCAAAAAATAATATAAGTAAAATCATCCTCGAAACCAATTCCCCCTTTTCGGGCCCCAAGAGCTGAAATCAAAGCTGCTGATAGATTCACATATCATATGACGCATCTATGAGTGAGACTCTGACAAGCTCTCGCACAACTCTGACTGGGATTGCAATCTTTAGAGTACTGGGTGTATAGTAATCCCACACGAGGCAAGCTGGAAGCGTCCAAAAGGTGTGTGGCGGATGTTGAGGTGATGTGCGATGTGCCGCAATCTACGACGAGGTGAAGTGCACTGTGGATGCGATGTGTCAAGAATAGCAAGCTTGTGGTGGCTGTGGAGCAGGGAGTATGACAACCAAAGTTCACCAGGGAAGGGCTTAATTGCTTGTCTGGTGGAAAGTTAAAGCTGTAAATGATCAAGTTCACAAAACATTTGCTGCTGGCATCGTTGAAATACCGCCAGAACTCCTTGCACGCTGCATCAGATTTGTTTTGCAAAGACTTTGATGTCCAAACTCTTGCCAAGAAACACAACATCTGTCAAATTCGAGGCTCCGACCCCAACAACCCGCCTGGTCAAGACATGTCATGTCAGGATTTGCTGCAATGGCGGGCAAGTGTTGCAGGCACCTCCCAGGAAGCAAGCATGGCTTCAATGTGACACCCGTTGCAAATGATGACGGAGGGTGCATCCACCAATCCATCAACAAAAAGCAAAGCAGTCACGCCAAATATATATATATATATCCTTCAGGAGAATGCATAATCGGCGTAATTCTTTGCGCCATTTTGCGCCCATCTCTTTTGCTGCAGATCTGCATGTCTCGACACCCTGCTCGCCAGCACGTCCAAAGCTCTTGACTCTGGTCCGTCGGCCACACAGAATCGTGCTGAGAAGACGGAGATCCACTAATCCTTGTTCTTTGCCCTACGAAGAATGAGCAAGTGAAGAAAGAATAGTGCAGAGGTTCACATGGCCTTTGACTCAAGGTCACACATCCAAAACTGTCTCGGTTTGAATTGTCGCCCAGACAGCCTGACACTTTCAAGGCTCCTGACCCTGATAAGTGCTGGCTGCGTGGGGATTTCTGTACAAAGAAACTGCTACCGCTGTTAGGCCTACGAGAAAATCAACCTTGATAGAACGGGAATCCCATGTCAGAGTCCGTTCTGACACTGAAGGCAGCCTCTCTCCTTAGATTGCATACGGCATAAGGTACAGCTTTGCTTTGGTTGAGACAAAATCCAAATGGATCAAAATGGCACCAAACAAAGAACGCAGTGCATGGGGAGCCTGCCCCCTCAACTGCCAAGCCTCTCAATCATCGGCCCCTCATACATCTCCTCCTCACGCTGGCCTTCATCCCCGTTTTCCTCTTCCAACTCCACGTCTGAAGCCTCCGAACCCCTCACAGCACCGATGTCGTCTTCTTGCGATCGACCCACCTTCTTCAGTTGCGGTCGGCGCTTCCGGGGGATCTGCCGCAGCGCGGCGTCGATCAGCCCTGCATCCTCGTCCAGCGCCAAGATGTGCACGTCACGGCGCAGCTCAAAGCCTCAGTGGCAACTGAGACCTGCATGGGTCAACCCGAAGCGCCAACAGAATCCAACAGAGTTTCGATTCTACAAACTGACACCAAAATTTAGGCGCCCCATCTGTCGAGAATAAAGAATTGACGTACATGTTGCATAATGTATATAGAGAGACCATGCTTTTGTAGGATTTTGTGTATATTCTATGTGTGCATGCTCTGGTCAAGACACCTAGTGGATCTTCAAGCGTCTGCTCTACTCTTCTGCCTTACTCGTGGCAGGTTCACAGGTTATCAGTGAATTCATGGACCACGCCACCATCCCCAGCAAGGTGATGCAGTTCCAGCAGTTGCTGTTCCGTGCACGGGACAAAAAGGATCTTCGCAGGATTCCCAGCAGGATCGACACCTTGCAGGTGTGTGCTTGGACTTGAAACAAATGTCCGGCGGCGCGCCGGCTCTGCGAAATCGAAAAATACGGCGGCATCATACCATCTTTCCAATCCAGGAATGGTAAACAGTGGGATTGTTCAGAACCCGGAATACAGGGAGTTGCTATGCTGTAGGACTTCTGAACGGATGATCATACTGATACCCACCAAGGCACTACATTCAGCTTCCCGCACACGATCGTGTAGTTTTTTCAGAGGCCCTTGTGGATCGAAGAGCAGATCGGAAACGTGCTGAGCATGGGTAAAGTGCGTAAGTCTGAATAACTGGACGCCATCCACGTTCAGTGGCGGAACATCATCCTTGCTGGCACGCATGGCCTGCATCAGGTCATCTGTGGCTTTCTCATCTGCCTCAGCATTGCCTTGGTCTGGCTGGCTTGATGAAGTGGTGTGAGGATCGTGTGAATCTGCGGCGGCGCCGCCCTGCTCACATGCTGGACGCATATCTGGCGAAGCTTGGCAAGGCGCTTGTGCATCTCCTGCGCTGCCGGCTGACGGGAAATCTTGTCCGACTTGAGGGGACCCAGCGCTCCAGCCAAATGATCATGCACTTGCTTCTTGACACAAATCTAAATCCTTGATGATCTTCGGCGCGTCCATCGACAAAGCCACCACCTCATCCACCAGCGAAGCTGGAAAAGGTTTCTTGCAAGCTTCTTCATCAACTGGTAGATTGCAATTCCTTTGGCCGCAATCTCCACTTTCCACGTTTTAGACAGCGCCACGTGGGCTGCTGCCATCGCCGCAGGCCGCCACTGGGGCGCCCAATCCAGCACACTATCCATCAGCAAGAGTTCGCTGCCTTCGTAGGACAGCTCAACACCTTCTGTTGCGAGCAAAGCCGCACAGTCGGATTGCCCCAGGAGAATCGCGCACTCCAACAGTGACAGAAAATCTGTTTCATCGCCGTGATGATTGATCATGACATCCAAAGCAGCCAAGGAGACTTGAGCTGTCTGGACGATTTCCAGCAGGTCTTTGCACAAATAGAGCATCCCAATCTTGCCACTTCTGTCCACTTTGAGGAAGACTTCACCCAAACCGTTCTCTTCTGGTGGCACCCATGGAGTGTCAGGTGGCGGAAGCAGGTCTGCAAAGTCGGTCCAAGGAGTTCCCGTCAGAGCCACGGCCACTCGGAAAGGAATCCAAGCTGTCCAAGCTTGCGCGTGGAGTCCTTGGAGCTCCACACCGGCCGAGAGGGCCGCGAGGAGCATGCCACGATCTCGAAGCTCCAAGCTGCCAGAGCACAACCTCATCTCCGGGTCTGCAGTCAAACTCGAAAATCCCATCCAAGCTCCACCGCCGCAAAGGCCGGAGGCGCGATTGCTCCGCGCAGCGCACGGCAGCCTCTCTGTCGCCAATCAGGATGGCGATGTCCAGCAAATGTGCCATGTGGCAAGACTTTGCGGCAAAGAGTCGGAGCGAAGGGCCTCCAGGACGGTGCGATTCAAGGGTTGCTCGGCTGCTCGGCGTGCTGCGTACGCAGCATCCATGAGGCTTGAGTCCGCTGTTCGGCGAGCGGCGTTTGCGGCATTTGAGAGATTTGAGTTCCAGCCCGTCATCCAAATGCCCTGCTCGACCGGGAAACCGAAGCAGCACTCTTCACAGGTCTCCCAATCGTCTATGCAATTGCTGCAGCCCCACCGGTCAATATCTCCGTCATGGAAATCTCTCTGCAAGTGATGGGCCTCCAATCTGCAACCTTTGACTCCTCTCTCAGCCATGGCCCAGGCAGTGTCAAAGAGGCCAAAAGTCAAACACAAATCGAAGAGATGCACTGGTCCCCATGAGGAAGGCACATGTTCGCTCAGAAATTCCACGTGGCCCTCCATCAGAGCTCTAGCCAACTGGAATTCCTTCACCCCAAGAACCATCTCCTGGGCAGTGCCATCGTAGCACACGAAGTGTGCAGCATCCATTGCCTTACTCGTGACACCGGCTGCTCAGAAGCCTTGATCTCACGAAATCACGCCCGTTCACAGCAAGTAGCGACAGACTCTACAGACCCGATAGACTTGCAACAAAACAAGATGTAAAGGAAAACTCCGCTGGTCTCCAGCCGTTGAAGCGTCGCACCAAGCCTTTATCTCCACAAGGCCACCAAAGGGCCCGGTGGACTTGCACAACCTTCCAGCAAGCTCAAGGGGCCGAAGGGGTCGGTATGTCTTTGTATTGCTTGCATTTCGCAAACCTTCCAAGTATCTTACTGCTTTACTTTACAGGCATCGGAGATCGATTGCCGGTCTGACAGTTGCTCCCAACTCACCCAGCCTTTACTACTCTCGTTGCCTACTTCTACCTCGAAATGCAGCACCACTCTAGTCGTTGAAGGTTGCCTATTGCCTATATAGTCTATCCTCTGCTTGAAACCTGCTCACACCCAGGCGCCTTTCTTTGGCCCTCAGCTCAAGCTGCACTTTCTTCCCTGGACCCAAAGATTGGACTGATCTTGACTAGTGCACTGAATACTTGTTGTGATCAAAATGCAAAAGCACTAAGGACGCTCCAAAAACAGCACTACCAAAGATGTCTAGAATCAAGACTGCATCACCACACTGAATATGCGCTCATGATTTGCTCGCAAGTTGATCCTGTTGGGTCCCCTTTCCACAAATTGCACCCCAGTCAACAAAGCCAAAAATGTCCAGAGGCAACCTCTGCAACCTTTGGGTTCAGCAGCGCCAAGGCCCACTCTACTTAAAGGAAGCAGTCTGGTATCACACCCGACCAAAGTCGGCTTGGACGACATTCAGGCTGGGTGTAGAGAGGAAAGAGTAGCGGAAACCAACATCTGGGTCTGAGGGTCAACTCGCTTCAAGGTCTTCTCATCCCACAACAAGGACTGGCCTTGCTTGGGTCAGCCAAAGGTGATGGCTCAAGTGTTCCATGTATATATTTGCAAGAAGAAATGAAGGAAAGCAGTCCTCAGAATGCATGTTACTCCAACTGACCACTTGACATGAACCAAATGCACAGCTCAATTTTTTGAAATATTCTGAAATGACCTCCTCGAGGGAATGTCAAGCAACGGGGTGACAGGAAATCGGTATGATGAGTTCCAGTTGCTGGTTGGGAGGAATACTTGCTTCCTACCTCGCAGGAGAACTTGCATGAACTCTGGACAGTGGACCGGTCATTTTGGAACACACTGTCTCGCCTCCCGATGGGTTTGTCACGAACCTGCGGCTCAATTTCCAGTGTCTTTCAAAGCTGCCCCTTCCACAACATCCCCCAAATGCTTGATATCCATGCCTGAAGTAAGAGGGAATAAGAGGGAAAAAAGGTAGTGCCATCAAGGGCGACTTTCATAGCAGTTCAACAGAGTCATGCAGGAGATACCACCTCAGTTTTGGTTATGGTTGGGTGCATTCCCCCACGCAGGAATTCCTAAGTTTCGAGCTTAACTTGCCACATCCAGCAGGACACCAAGCCTCCAGCGCAGTGCTCGAAAGACCTGGCGCAAAAGCTCTTCATTGCCATGGAGAGGAAAGACATGTCCTTCGTTGGCGCAGAAAACTAATTCCACACGCCTACCACGCATGTGTCTTTTCCCGGCATCTTCGACGTGTCCAGGGGTCAGTGCTCTGGTCAGACGAAGATGGTGAAGCGGTGTGGTGTCGGGATTCAGGCAAAACACCTCATACAAGATAACTGTGATTGGAGGATGAGCAGAAAGTCTATCCACTGCTATCTAGTACCAACATGTATCAATACTTATTCTTCAGCTGCCTCTCCAGCGGTTGTCTTGACTGCGGCTACTGCACAAATGATCCCTCACCAGTCTCTCTGATTCACTCCGATTCCTAGGTGAGGCTTCAGCTTCAAGTACTGAAATCTGCTTCTTCTCTTCCACGGATTCCACGCCCACCCCTACTGATCCTACTGAATCCTACTGCATCCCCAATGCCTTCACTAAGCTTAGCAATGAAATCGTTCATGTGGAAGGGAAGGCACGTGACAATGCCATAGCGATGGCTAAGAACTGCACAGGACAACAAAAGCCAACAGTATGCTTTGCACACAAAGATAAACTGCATTAAATTTTACCCAAACATCTCTTCATCACCTGCAGCCTTCGCACCAACAAGGCTCAAGGCTCTGACTAGCCCGAAGGGCAGGACACAATGTGAGATGCTTGTCTATACAGCAAATACTACGGATTGTAGGATGGAAACCCCCAGCCTGAGAATGTGCTCACGAAGTCGCCAATCTCCCTTTGATGGGCTCTCAAACAACAAAGGTTCTCATATTCCTCAAATAAACACAATGAAACAAGAAAGTCTTAAATTGCCGCTAGCAAAAACACTGAACAAGTGTTCTGCAAGGAAGGAAATGAAAACCATCGAAAATAATCAGCCGGGTCTCTCAATGATCGGGCCTTCCTGGTCCTCTTCATCCCTCCGACCTTCATGCTTCTTCACCTGCGACGATGAAGCTGCCTCGGCTTCCCAGTCTCCGGGTGTATGCCGTGCGCTCAACCGCGCGACCTTCTTCAGCTCAGGCCGATGAGCCCGTGCGATATGGGCGCGCAGGGCTTGGTCGATGACCTTGTGATCTGCCTGCAACGCCAAGATGTGTTTCTTCCGACAGAGTTCGTAACCTCGATCGGAGTGAACTCAGGGGGACTCTTCCAAACGAGCAAAGAAATCGAAAAAGGCCACTGTGCAGTGGGAAAAAAAGACTCTGCCTTGCAAATGTACAACGAGTGTCAAAAAGTAAACATCTTGAGACTTTGTCCAGCCAGGCACCGTGAGCGGCCAGATCCTCCAGTTCCAGAAGTTGATTTTCAGTACAGGGCACGAAAAGGATCTTCACGGGGTTTCCTTCAGGATCCACACCTCAATACTGACAGGATCAGGTTTGGGAATGTTTAGAAAGGAAACGATGGAAACAATTGCTTGGCTGTGTTGTCAGCTGAGGTGCTGCATCCAGCTTCCTGGACGCGATCGTGCAATTCTTTGAGAGGTCCTGTTGGATCAAAAAGGAGGTCGACAACATGATTGGCATTGGCCATGCGAGTTAAGCGAAACAATCGAACACCATCCACGTTCAGTGGGGGCATCTCGCTCCGAGTCTCTTGTATGGCACGCATCAAAGCATCTTGCTCCCCGGCTTTCTCATCAGTTGCTTCATCGGCTCCGGGGACTGGATCAACGGGTTTTGATGAACTCTCGCCGCCCTGAAGGCCGTCAATCTCCATCTGCACTTCTTTCATTTCACATTTGGGAGAAGGAAAGAGGTCCTTCCGACACCACCCTGACCGGTACCACCGTCTCCACTCTTCCCAGAGGTCCAGGTCATCAATGATCAAGGGCGGGTTCACCAAAATGGCTGCTACCTCCCAAACCAAAAAAGTTGGAAATTCCACACCCTGTGAAAACCGCCTCAATAAAAGATTGGCATTCAGTCTAGCCAAGGACGCGTTCCTCCAGGCAATGTCCCAAGTCACCTGAGCTGCTGCCACCGCCGCAGAAAAGCGTTTCGGATCCGCAGTCAAACACCGCCGCAAGATGTGACAGCCCGGATCAGAGAGCGTCATGGATGTGGAAGCACACAGAGCTGCACAATCGGATTGTCCGGACAGAATTGCGAGATCCAGCAAGGACAAAACACTTGCTTCTCGGAAGGATTTTTCCAGGGAGTAGCACAAGCCGAAATGCTGGAACTCAATGCCTGCCATCTGTGCATGTTGAAGCCTGTCTGCACACAAAGCGAAGGCACTTGCTTGGAGGAAAATGCCTCCCAGGCCGTTCCTGGGGCCGTTCCTTATCCTTGGCTTCCATGGAGTCTTTGGCGGCAGCAAATCCGCAAACTCTGCCCAAGGAGATCCAGACAAAGCCACGGCCTCTCGGAACGGCAGGCAATTCCAGGTAGGCAAAGGCTGATCACAAACTTGCCACGGATCATCCTTGGGTTCATATCCCTTGCTTGCACATTCCATAAGACTCAAGGTTTCAAGCGCTGTCCCAATGGACATTGCTGTAAGAAGCCCTTCAGGGTCTTTAATCCTCAGGCTCCAACAGTTGAAATAGATTGTCCACTCCTCAGTCACCTGCAACGATCTGCGTTGGACTACCTGCTCGAAAATCCCATCGCTGCTCCACCGCCGCAGGGGCCGGAGAGCGGAATGTTTCGCGCAGCACACCGCGGCCTCTTTGTCACCAATCAGGATGGCGATGTCCAGCAAATGCGTCACGGCCTCTTCGGAGATGGCAAGGGTGTGCGGGACAGGACCAGAACGAAATGTCTTGAGAGCGGCACGGACGAAGGGCTGTTCCGCTGTCTGCCGTGCGGCTTCTGCGGCATCTGCGAGATTTGCATTCCAGTCCTTCATCCAAATGCCCTGGTCGACTGGGAATCCGAAGCAGCACTCATCACAGGTCTGCCGCCCGTCCTTGCAAGTACCGCAGCCACCGCTGTTCTGGTCGTGAAACTTCCTCTTGAGATGATGGACTTCCAATGCGCAGCCTTCGATTCCACTCTCAGCCAATGCCCAGGCGGTCTCAGAGAGGCCAGCAGCTAGGCACAAATCGAAGAGGAACTTCTTCACTCCAAGAACCGTATCCTTCCAGGCATGCCACAGAAGGTCCATAGGGTCCATCCTTCCAGCAGTATCTTGATCTGAAATGCCTGAATGGTCATCACATCAAATCAATCCTTTCAGGCTTACTCTGACCTGCTTGCAACCCCGGGTTGAACTTCCACATGGAAAAACTGTTTAGGGTCACCAAAAGGCCACATCAAGAGTAGGTGGCAAGCTCGTTAACACAGCAAATCACAAACGGCAAATCACACATGACATAGTCAACTTCCAAAGTTGTCGAACACTGCTCCCTATCTTGCTTTTGGAAACCCAAGCAAGCATCAGCAATCGAATGCAACATGTTTGCAGATCGGAGCTGTCAATCACAGACAGGTTCAATCGCCTGGAGCTTCTTGGAGCTCGCGACATGCTTTGGATGGTTCCTGATCGCCCAAGGTGAGTTGGTGTATTCTGTCAAAATAGCAAACCCTGCAAAGCACAACCAGAACGTGTCAGCATAGTTGGCATAGTTCATACTCGCTGCTCAAATTCACCCCTGGAGTCCTGCAGTGGTCAAACAATGTCGAACACGTCGGACATCAACTCAGCCTCACCCGGACATTTGCCAGTAGTTTTGCCCGCTGGGAACTGCTGGAGCGAAAAACAAAAATACTTCAGAAATGATCAAACAAACAAACAAACAAAGGCGATCATACGATGGCCCCAGCTGCTTTTATCCAAACAAAGAAATCTCAGGCTTCTCACGCCCAATTTCAATCAGACCGGTTCGCACATGTCCACAAAAAATGAGCATCACTTGGCGGAAAGACCTCCAAGGATTCCAACGAACTGTCCATGTTTAGACTTTAGACCACCACGGCCAGTTCGCTTTGAGACGGACCTGGGTGATTTCTGTGAGCTTAGATTCTGCAAAACAAAAGGGGTATATGGTATATGAGTTGAAACTTCTGTTTGTTCCAAGATCATTCATGGTCGCGAAGAAGCTCCACCCTCCGCTGGGCTCACTGGCGTTGCTGGGCGGACGGTCGCACCCGGTGCATGGGCGTTCTTGGATGAACATGGAAGGTTCACAGCATGGCGGGTGTCCCTCTTGCTGGACTTGACTATCTTCTGGAACAAATGTCATCCAAAGATTTGAACCTTCGGCCACTTGGGATGCCAGGGAGTTGAGGGCAGCCCGCCAATCACAAGTTCTGGTCACTTGGGGTCTTACAGCTGCTGCCTGGCTGATTGTCACATTTGTCTGATCTTCAAGTGTGATTGAGAAAGCAGGCGGATGGGTTGAACTTCAAGCTCTTGGTCTCGATCACAATTATCTTGCTAGCTAAACATCGATTTTAGTTGATGAAACCTGTAGATAGCAGCAGTGTCTTCTCGTCTCTCAAGGTTCTGCAAGCTTTCTCGCCTTACCTTAGTATCTTGACATCTGAAGCCCCAACAGGTCTAGAATACAACATCCAAGCAATACGCCTCTTGTTCACACCGCCACCAGGAATTGCGCATCGCGCCCAGGTACCACCAAAGGCTTCAGAAAACGGCCTGTGACCGATCCATGCTGGTCGAAAGCCAGTTCCCGTGTAGAAATTGCTTCTTTGCAGGACTCTGGTAGGGTTTGAAGACGTTTGAAGTCTCTCTCCAATATACCCCAGGTCCCCAATCAACCTAAATCAGTCCAAAACCAAAACCAAACAACACTCCTAACACCGACATCTCATCGCTGCACAAGCTCCCTGCATCCCCCTCGGGTCCCCACCGGTGTCGTCCAACTCCAGGAGCTCCCCGGACTCCGGGCGAAAGGTGCCGGTGATTCCAGGCTCCAAGGGCAGCGAAGGCACCTGCCATCACAGGCCATCGGGAGTCGCCTTTTGGGCTCAAATCAATCCTCAATCCCTTTGGCATACAGTTTTGTCCGTGACCATTGACCATCCAATCTCCCACGCCATGAGCCCAGGGAATGGTTTTGAATATACTTGGAATGAGCATGGGACTGGCCGATGCCATTGGGGTTCAAGGGTACCTTTAGGCCGACCTTCGGGGCCATATGAAAGACCGGAAGCCAATCCCACTTTCAGCATGGCGATCCCTACAGTTACGGTTTATGCAGAGGCTTCCCACATGTTTCCACAGTCTCATTGCCCGTTCACTCCACCTATCAACAGATACAAACCCTGCCAACTCTGCTAACCACTCTCCCTACCAACCGTAGATGTGAGTTGCTCTCAAGCTCACTTCTGAAGCATGTCTATCTCAACGAAACCAATTTTGTAACCTGGTCTGTACAGTACAGAGGTAACCTCTCAGTAATCAGTAAACTCTCCATATCGCTAAGAACACAATCCACTAACCCACAGCAACAAACCCGTGTACAGAGTGTGTTGTATGTTCGTCATGTTCTCCAACCCTACCATCACATCGCTAGCACTCCCTTGGAGCCTCCACCGGCTCACCCCGCAGATTCACCACCGCTGCACCCAGCAGCCGCGGGCCCCGCAGCACCACCAGAAGCAGCGCTGGGCGCGCGGAGGCGCCGCGCTCATAGCGGAGGCAAACCTGGCCACGCGGCTTGTGAAGAGCGTCAGGTGATTTTGATCAGATACTTGGTGAAAGGGATCTGATCCATTCTCATGGGTAGGGGTGCTTTGCAAACCCTTTGCCATTAGCCGCCTCCGAGCTGGTGGCGGCCCGGAGTTGGTTTCGGAAGCGCAGGGCACGGCAAATCATCGAGCCGCACTCCTGCGATTTAAAACGTGGCAAAAAGGCAGAAAGTTTGCTTTCAATGGTGGACTCACACCAGTGTGCGTCTCAATAAGAAACATCCTCAGAGGTGGAGGAGGTTGTCAGGATTTGTCATGTGATTCAGGTCGTTCAGTCAACTTGTTCCTGAGCGACTGGCCTTCTGCAACTCATCTGGACCAATCACCGGTGAACATTTAGGAAGAAAACTCAATCCTTGCTCTAGCTGGTTGCAGTATTAGCAGGGTCTGCATGGTCCTCTTTCTTTACACGAAGACCACATCGCGTTTGGGCTGGAATCCACTTTGAAAAGTGGATGATCGCACATGGTGTCATAGAAGTACTTGCAAACACCCAAGTTTGCTCAGAGTACATACCTCAAAGTTGGTCTCCAAGAGTCGGCGTTGCACCATATCTTTTTGCATGAAGAACCCATTTCGGGATCACCGACTCCCACCCGTCCCACCCATCTCCTGATTCTGCAAATCCTCAGGGAAGACCAAGACGCTGCCATCGTGCAAAGCCAAAAGCCAAGCCCACAAACCCATGGCCTCCACACAGGAGCCACCCAGGCCGTAGTAAAGCCCCGGATTCATCACCTGCAGAGATACCATCAAAAATTCAGAGTCACTTTGATTTCGCCATCGTCTTGAAACTGAGGGCAATTTACGTGCATTTGTTTCAGGAGGCTACCAAGTGCGAAAAGAAAGCAATCCATAGAAAGGTGACTCATGGGTGATCCGACAATCCATTGATGGCGAAGAAGCAATGCGGCGGCCACACCATCTCGGTGACTTGTGCATACTTTTGCCTAGAAAGGGACATAGTTGATCCCATGAACATAGAAGGAGTAGAGACTGATGGCCCTATATAAACTGACTGGTCCCTCACCAGTATACACCACCGACGCAAACATCACCGGCACCCACTCCATCGTCCCCGGCCGTGTCGTGATTCCGTGCAAAGCGGACCGAGTCCCCCGAGAGCGCGGAGGTCGGGAAACGCTTCGCACTCTTCAGACCTGGCGGGACTGAAGAACCTTGAATGAAACAGTTGCATACAAAATCATACACACGCAACTGCTTTGCCATCGGTTTTCCTTAAGAACTTATGTAGCTCAACCCGGCTGGTCCCAATATGTGACGGAATGCTATGGGCGCTTGTTGGGGAGAAGCTGGGCTTCCTTTGGTTTGTTCTCAGACAACCTCCTAGTCTGGCTGCATTTCCTACATCCTCAGCAAAAGAATCGCTACTTGAATGGGTAGTGACGGGTAGTGTGTCCGTTCAAGTGCTGCTGGACTTTTCAGCCAAGGCTCAAGGCTCTGGTCAGTTTGGCAAGTCAGAATGAATTGATGACAGATTATCCTGAACAAAACTGCAAACGCAAGCATCATGATCTGCTGCCGTCTCCATTATCAGTGCTCAATGGCTCTGATAGTGGGGAATGCAAAGCATCTCTGCTGTACAAATGAGCTGCGCTCCCCCATTAGCCCTCGTACGATGGATACCCCATGTCAGAGTCCGTTCTGAAAGCAAAGCCTGGCTCTTTCCTCGGATCAACAGATCAGTCTAAAAATAAATGAAACTAACTCTACAAAAAGGTACTGTAATACATGGTAATCCTGTCATATAAGCAAACAAATAGAAATTGCAAATCGGCGAAAGCAAGTCTCTCAATCATAGGGGACTCGAAGTCTTCCGGGTCGGATAAATCTTCAGCTTCTGAACCCCGCTCAGCACCCACATCTTTGTGCTGCGGACCCTCTGGCTTGAGCTCTGGTCGACAATTCCTTGGAACGTGTAGCCTTTGGAACAGCTCCCGAAAGGCTTGGTTGATGAGCTTGGCATCTTCTTGCAGCGCCAAAATGTGAAGATCTTTGCGAAGCTCAAAACCTTGGCCGTGGCAAGTCTGAAATCTTCACAGCAAAAAGGGGTCGTCACCAGTCAGACAAAGGTCAAACAGGAGACTAGATCGCTGGATTATCATTCCGTCCTGTAAATACAGATCCGACAACCATGTGTCAGAATACATGCAAAAAACACGTCATCTATCTCAGAAGGGTTCCCATTTCGATCAGTTCACTGTCAAGCTTGAGAAGGATAAAGCTTGAGAAGGGTTGCTGTATATAATTGTTATATAATTAAACCCAAGCCACCATCAGCAGCAAGCTGCTGCAATTCCAGAAGCTGCTCTTCAGTGCATGGTACGTAGAGAATCTTCAAAGGATTGTCTTCTGGATTGACGCCTTGCATCAGATCGGAAAAAAGAATATTTCGACATATTTCGACAGATTCAAATCTCAGCTATGCAAATTGACGATGCTTGCACGCATCGAAAAAATGCATGGTCTTAAAAGAGCTGAGGCACTGCATCCAGCTTCCTGGACGCGATCGTGTAAGGCTTTCAGAGGTCCCAGTCGATCAAAAAGGAGATCAACAACATGATTGGCATTGGCCATGCGAGTGAGCCGAAACAAACGAACACCATCCACATTGAGCGCCGGCACGTCACCTCTGCTCTCGCGCATGGCCATCATCAGAGCATCCATGGCTTTCTCGTCCACAGCCTCAGCATCTCGGTCTCGTTGACTTTGTGACGTTGCGTCAGGCTCTCGTGAACCTCTTGAGAACTTAACGTCCTCCGGATGGACAGAAATCTTCTCAGCTTTAGGTGGCACTGGTGACACCGGAGAAACTTGAGAAGACTTGTACCATGCACTTGCTTCTTGACACAAATCTAAATCCTCAATGATCTTTGGCACATCCATCGAAAAAGCCGCCACCTCATCCACCAGCGAAGCTGGAAAAGGTCTCCCCTTTGAAAGCTTCTTCATCAACTGGTAGATTGCAATTCCTTTGGCCGCAATCTCCGATTTCCACACCTTTGACAGCGCCGCGTGGGCTGCTGCCATCGCCGCAGGCCAGCGAGCTGGCTCTGCATCCAGCACACCAAATTGCAGCAAAAGTTTGCTGCCTTCGTGCGACAACTCGACACCCTCTGTAGCGAGCAAAGCCGCGCAGTCGGATTGCCCAAAGAGAATCGCGCAATCCAACAGCGACAAATGAAAATCATCCAGATGTCGGACCAGGAGACGCATAGCAGCCAAGGGGACTTGAGCTGTCTGAGCGATTTCCAGCAGGTCTTTGCACAAATAGGGCATCCCAATCTCGCCCCTTTTGTCCACTTTGAGGAAGAATTCACCGAAATCGTTCTCTTCTGGTGGCACCCATGGAGTGTCAGGTGGCGGCAGCAGGTCTACAAAGTCGGTCCAAGGAGTTCCCGTCAGAGCCACAGCCACTCGGAAAGGAATCCGACAGAGAATAATAAGGGGAGTCAGAGCCACGTGGAGTTGTTGCAGTCCTTGGAGCTCGACACCGGCCGAGAGGGCCGCGAGGAGCATGCCACGATCTCGAAGCTCCAAGAAGCCGGAACGCAACCTCATCTTAGTCTCCAGGTCTGAGCATGGATAAAAATAAGTCTCGAAAATCCCATCCGAGCTCCAGCGCCGCAAAGGCCGGAGACGGGATTGCTCCGCGCAGCGCACGGCAGCCTCCCTGTCGCCAATCAGGATGGCGATGTCCAGCAAATGCGCCATGGCCTCTTCGGAGATGGCAAGACTTTGCGGCAAAAGGTCGGAGCGAAGCGCCTCCAGGACGGTGCACACCAAGGGCTGCTCGGCTGTTCGGCGGGCAGCTTTTGCGGCATTTGAGAGACTTGAGTTCCAGTCCGTCATCCAAATGCCCTGTTCGACTGGGAAGCCGAAGCAGCACTCTTCACAGGTCTCCCAACTGTTTTTGCAATTGCAAAAGGGCCACTCGTCGATAACCTGGTCATCGCAATCTCTCTTCAGGTGATGGGCCTCCAATCTGCAACCTTCCACTCCTCTCTCAGCCATGGCCCAAGCAGTGTCAAAGTGGCCAAAAGTCAAAAGCAAATCGAAGAGATGTGCTTGGCCCCATTGGGAAGGCACTTGTTCGCTCAGCAACTCCATGTGGCCCTCCATCAATGCCAATGCTACTCGAAATTCCTTGACACCAACAACTTTCCCCGAAGTATCGGCGCAGCATAACAAATCCACGGCAGCCATTTGACCTAGATAGCCGCTTTGGCTTTGGGGCACCCCCTTCTTGATGGCTGCAGCAGGCCAGAAATCTGCTACGTACAAAAAGAACCCGCAAACATCAAATTGAGATGCACTTCCTCTACAAGTGTCCACCCTTCCCAGTCAAACTCCCAGCTCATCAGCTGATCATCTGCTTGTGGACTCCTCACCTGTCGCCTTGGCCACGCGCGCAGCAGCACCCGAGACACCCTCCTGGGCGGCCACGGTGCCCTGGCCAGCAGCTTGCGCTTCTGCTGACAAGACGGGAAGACGATTCGTTTGATAATTCAGACTCTAAACGTTTTATTGATTTATGTGATAGGTCCTAATTTAGGTGTGAACTCACAAGCATGCTTCGTGACTGGGCTGTAAGGTCCGCTAGGCTGCTTTGGATCTGACTTTTGTGGAGGCTCCACCACAGTTAGTTATGAATGAACAATATACCTACAATAATTACAACCTCCCGCCAATAATCGCCAAATTTGCAAAGAGAGGAGCACTTCGGACCCGCCACAGGGCACGCACTGAGACCGCCACAGCGCCGAAAACCTCCTGCCCTGCCTCCGACAGGGCCCGGTACATGAAGACTGTCAAAGGGAAGTCTGTGGATGGACACGACAGCGCCATGTACTCCTCGTGCACTTTCGGCGGAGGGTGAGCTCGAAACTGTCTTGAAGCAAAGCATGGCGCACCAACGCCCGAGTCTCGCAAACATTGAGGTACCGATCGCTTACCTGTCAAAAGCTTCTTTGGCTATGGATCCAACAAGTGTTGCATGAGAAATGAAACCAGGTTGGCGAATGCTTTAGCTGAAGTCACTCCGCTGCACACGAAGAAACTGGCTCCCGCCGCCCTTGACCGACGCAATCGAAATCCCTGTCTCCTGGTGCATTGTTTCGTCCACACTCCTGCACAGTTGTTCAACCATTCTAATTACCTGGTGAGTTATCAGGTCTGCGCATTCCACCTGTGATCACCTGTGAAGCAACCTGTGGAACATCTTGCGGATGAACAAAAAATGACCGCAACCGCAGCATCAGCACTTTCCTGAGCCTCCGTATTTCTGTCTTTCTCCAAGCCCCAACAAAGCCTCCAGCTTTGGATGCTCACACTTGCAGCCAGGGGGCAAGACCTCTCCGTACGCGAAGACCTTCTCTTTGCGCAGCAGCTGCAAGTGCTCCTCACTCTCACAGGAAACTGCGCTCCATTATGGCATGTTACAACAGGCCTCGTTATGCAGAGACAAAGGAAGCGATGCCATGCAGATGAGGATATTTATACCCATCCATCTGGATATTTGACCCGCAACAGCAAGCACCTCCCCTAAATCACGTCCTCCAAATGTGCTGGGCGCAAGTGCTTCACGGCATCAAAACGGATGCCCCGCACACCTGGGATCTGACGCTTGGCAGGAACTCAAGCACCCAAAACTTGGAAATCAGAGTGCAACAAAGGGGAGGGATCACAGTGCAGGCAAGGGCGGGAGGGAAAACACTAATCCTGTTCAACGGCCCGCCCCAGTGACACACAGGATGCAATCCACGCGGCAAACAAATCAACACATTAAAGGGAACACTGTGCAAACAATGCACAACAATTCAAAACAACGCTGGACAAATCACTTGGGTAGCTTCAGCCTTCTGCTCCTGACCCAACACCAAGAACACGTCACTCTGAGGGTGCAAAAGGTTCAAGTTAGTTGGAGTTAGACATGTTTGAGTGGTGGGCCAAACATCAGTTCCAAATAGAACCCACATTCTCAAAAGCAATCAAATCCCACTTCTTGCTACTTGCAAAATGAATTCATCCTTTGACGCACATTCTCTACACATGTGGAACGTGCGATCACTGGGGTCACTAGGGTGCCAGGGTTGTCAAGCTGGGAGGCTTCCGACAACATGCCCTCGCATAAAATGTCCCAGTCACCCGCATCCAGCAGTAGCCGCAAATGCTTCTGCTGTGCTGCCACAACCCGCTCACAATAGCGAAGCTCCGACCACTCACCACTGCCCCAGCCCTGACAACGTGCAGCAGGCGGTGCTGGGCCCAGTCAGGGAGTTGCCGTTAAAGCTATGTCTTGAAGGCTAATGTCTTCAACTTCGGAGACACTCAATTTCCAGGATATGCCTGAAGGCTACATCAATCCCAATGATTCATAATGATGCCCTTTCAGCATTGCCTTTCGGAACAAAACACCAAGGACAAGCTTCACCAGCAACCGGAACTTCTGACGATCCCACCTCGTAGCGGTTTTCGTTATCCCAGTGCTCACCAGACCTGAACAAATGCAACTTCCCCATAGGCCACGTTCTGTCTCATCTCTCCTTTTCACCCAAGCCAAAGTCTCTCTTTCTTCGATACAAAGACCCATGCCCACCTCCCCACCGTCTCATCCATGCTCCCCTAAATCAAACACAGTCCCCTTAACTCACCAATTCCCACCACACTTCGTCCCACTGAGTCCGAGCGTCATTTCAAACCAGGGCCATTGGAAATCCTCCAGTCGCATGGAGGTCTCCCGCACGAGGCGCTCCTGGAGCTGCTTCAGCCTCGCCGGGTTCGCCTGCGCCTGACGCCACTCGTGGCAGCTGCCAACCACCTGGCCAGCGTGGATAACACCAGGTCCGCTGAATCATCAAGGTGGGATCTGTGGCATAATGATTCAGATCACCCGCCAACACGCATGTAGGGTCTAGGCCCCATGAGGCTCATAGACCGAAGAACGTATGGTATTCACCTTGGGTCTTCTCCACAGAATCCCTGTCCCTGTGTTTCGTCGTGTTTACGGCACTCCTCTCGAAATTCAGAGTACAGGAGTGAGCAGCTCTTCTCCACAAGTTGGGACGGATACACTTTGTCAGAGTGCGCCCCAGCGCGCCCCGTGCGCCCCGCACGGCTGCCCCGCACCAACATGTGGTTGAAGACAACATCACCTTGGATTTGCAAGATGTTTTTCGGCACAGCGGCTGAACAACTGTCCCATCTGTCCAGTAGCTGAACACGACTGTGAAAATACATCAGAATGCCCTGCGAACCAGGGACGACGTCCCTCAGATGACAACTTGTGGTGGTTGGTGTCCTTTGATCAAACCATCACCTTCTTCCACAGCCCTTTCAATCCAGGCCACCGATGACCCTGAGCTTTAACTCGTCGGCTCTTCGGCAAAGCTCTTTCAGCTCCTCCCAGTCACCGGCGCGAACCAGTGCACGATCCAAGAAAGAAAAGCTGAAAAGCAAAAGTACACCAAAACGGCCTCTCAACAAAATGGCGGGGCCTACCCAACTCTAATTAGCCCAATGCTCAACCTGCACCCAGTGGAAGGAAAATGGAAGAAAGCAATACAGTAGGTCTGCTGGATGCCCAAACTGATGTCCATGCAGGCAAATAGAAGTTGTGCATTGAATCGCTGTTTGTCGAGATCTTCGGGAGCTGTACAAAAAATGTTTACAGTAATCTTTGATTTGGACGTAAGCTCCATCTACTACGCAAACCGCAAGGCACTTCCCCGTGCTTCCCCTCGCTTCATCAGGTCCTCCCAAGAGCCTAAGCCTTCAATCTTGCCGTAGTCCTGCATCTCATGCGATTCTCAAGTTCACATATTATAGGAGACCCTCCTACACTGTCTCCGGTCTGAAAAGCATGCTGTAGGTTCCATCCAGCGGAAAGCCATGTCAGGTCCACAGGCCATGAGCAACATTCAAGAAAGCATCCCTCCAGTATCATGCAAGCAAAACCTATTTTGCCGGTGAGTAGCGTTTTTTCTACACCAGGACGCCCTTGGGACTGCTGGGTCTCTCTTGCCCATCATCTCCTGCGGCTGGTAGCGTGCCCACCATTCGTGCCCTTGGAACCGCGGATATCTGCATTAGAGACTTGTTGGAAATTTGACAATCAAATTACAGTAGGACTTCTCTCAGATTCAGATGACAACTGTCTACATACATCATACATCTATGACCCGCAGCACCCTCCAAAGACAAAAACCTTCCCCAGTTGGCGAAAGCCTATCCGAGCTTGCAGCGGTCGGTATACTTGCTTCCCCGCTTCCAACTAGTCGAGGGCTGAAGCAATCTGGGACCGCCCGGCCATGCTTCGACTTCTGCGCGGGGCTGATCTGTACCGCGTCGAAGCCCATGTCGGCTGGCAAAGCTCATGACGTGGACGTACGTGTTTCGAAATGCTTCCCAAAATCCTTTGCCATTTTACTGCCGTCCGAATGCTTCTTCCAGGCTAGCATACACAAATGCTTCGAGCCTATATCCTTGAGTCTCTCAAGGACCAGCTTGAAGGGCCAATGGAAGGCATGGAAGATTGTTCTTGGAGCCTGAACCCAAAGTTTCCACCAGCCATTTGGACTTGATGCAAAACCTGCCTCGGACCTGAAAACCTGAATTCTATTCAGCATCAAGCTCCAGACGTATTATTCCAAGAAGCAACACGAAAGGCCAAAATGCTTTGGAGATGTCAGCGATACCGAAGCATCCACTGCTTCCCTCTTTGTTTAGGACAATAACATTTGCAGAAACAAAGAAACAGCAAATATTCTAAGTCAAAGCCCATCTCCGAATAGAGCAAAATCACTGCCTCCACCGCCCCACAGCTGGCTGGTGGCTTCCAGGGGATCCACTGGTCGATGCCTGGCGAAAACGTGGAAGTCCAGGCATCAACCGTCTTTCAGGTATCGACTAAGAAGCTACTAGGAACAAGAAGCTACTAGGAACAAGTGCATCGCTTCTAGTAACAAGTGCCTTACTAGTAGGAACAAGGACGCTAGTAGTAACAGGATGCTAGTGGTCGTGGAAGTCATCAACTTCTATTCAGTCTGTGCCAGGCTTCCATGGACAATCGAACAGCTCGTTTGTGGCAAGTCTCCCAGACTTCCCTCCATGTATGTCTCAGGAAGAAGAAAGGTGAGCCATTCGACATACCGTACCCTCACTTGAATGATCTTGAATGAAGAAAGCAGCCCACATGGTAGCATATCAAATTACACGGGAAAACTACAATAGAAATAGGAGAAAACTGTTCGAAACCACCCTCGGATCCGTTCTCCCGCCTTCACCCAGCGTCCGCGCCGCCGCCTCCACCTTCGGGAGGGTCACTTTGGGCGGCCACACACCAGGAGCTCCATGCCCAGGCGCGGTGTGCGCAGGCACGCCGGCCTGGCAACAAACGGATGGAGTGGTTGGAGTGATTGAAGAAAAGAAACCCCTGATGACTTTGATTGATGGTATGACTCTGCTTGTCTCACTTTCCGAAAAGATACCCTGCTGATCTCAAGATGACAAGTAAGCAAGCATAGATTTATATACTCTGGTGAGTAGAATCATCTGCAAGAGGAGGGATCATTCCAAGTCAGTAGGTTGTCCAGTCAAAAAGCGGAGTAGCTGACCTCGAATTCTTGGATCTCGTCGGAGGCTGGCCAGGAATGCATTGGGCCTGCCTCCTCCCACACCTTGTCAGTGGCTTGGAAACATCATTGTGTACTTTACAGGAGGGTCCATCTCCTATCACAAGTGCATCAAGTCAGTTTGCTCACCAATCTGGCTGTTCCTCCCCTCCTGCTTGGTCCCTTTACCTCCCAGGAAGGCGTAGGCTTAGATCTGGGTGTGTTGACTCCAAATGACGTGTGTGTGTGTGTGTGTGTTCCTTTTCTTTTTGGAATCGAGGCAATCTTGGATCTTGCTGACAAGCAACATAAGTATTGCTTGCTTCATGCAAAATGCAGCACTTAAACGGCTGACCAGGTGGCACCTGCAGCAGCAAAGCAGTCCGTCACTCCATGGAATGGATGTTCTGAAAATGCCCAGAGACTCCCTTAAATAGCCTTCATGGCCAAGTGCAGTAGGTCATTGAGCTTCAGCGAGCTTTAGAGAAATTTGCTCCAACAGAGCGGCAATATCTGGCCTTCACGCCTTCAAAGGTGCCAGTCCAGACGGTAGCACCTCTGTTTTCGACCCCACTGTGCTTTTCGAAGCCATTTCAAAACAGCGCAAAAAACTCTTCCGCATGCTGCAGGGGGAAAAACTCGAAGTGATCGCAGTGTCGTTTGCATTAGCAGTCCACAATCTCCACATGTCCACCGTCTCCACCGGCCTTTCTCCACCGTCTTCTTGCTGAACTTCACCGCCCTCTTTGGATCCCAACCACCCAAGACCGGCAGCTCTCCCACCAGGCAGCACACCGCGCCCGGCTGCGCCGACGCCTCCGCCGCCCGCGGCGACCGCCCATGGTCCACACGCACACCACCGCGCGGGCGGGCGGCGCCGTCGGGCGCGAGCGGCGCGGCGAGCGGCTGCAGCAGGTCGGTGCCCTTCAGCTGCGTGGAGATCCAACCAGAAGTGGGGCCAGAGCCTGTCACCTTCTGGTAATGCATCCGCTGGGCTTGCAGCTCCAATTCCTGGTGGGCTTCTGGTGACCATGAAAGTCCCAAAGGCCCCTACAGCATGTGTTGTCTGATTGCTCCAAATCAAAACATATCAAAACAGAAACTCCACATGTTTGCATCCCAAATCTCATCCATGCTTGACAAATCCAGACCCAGGGGCTCTGATGGTCGCGCCGCGCTGGAGCCGCTCGGCCAGCTCAGCCGAGCTCAAGGAGGCACCCTGGCGCACGAGGAGGCCCTGGCGGCGGGAGACGTCAAGAATATGGTGTCAAGTTCAACATCCTATATTACATTGTACTAGGTCACTATGTAGATCTATGTAATTAGGCGGGCAAAATATTTCATACGATCCATGGTCAAGCTTCCTGTGAATCGGTCAAAAGTTCAGAAGGATTTGGGGACCAGCTACTTTTATGAACTGCAGGTGTACGGTGGAGTTGACCAGCTGTGAGATATCAGCAAGTTCAATTGCCTTTGACCACAGCGGGGTTGTGGGAGCCCCTCACTTGGGAGGCACCATGGGTATTAGGCATTGCATGGCATTGTTTCAGAGAACACTGGACACTGGTCATTCACTTTGACGGACTTGGTGGGCAAATTCCTAATGATGGGCCAAAATTGATGAAGCAGTGACACAGAGAAATCCGCCGACCCTTTTGCAAGGGGGATACAAGACGTTTGCGCGCGCTTTAGATCTTGACATCAGCAGTCCGTCCAGGAAACTTTGAGTACTCTCTTGAATGTTCATGTCCAGTCAGGGAGGTTGCGTTTCACTCCATCCATCATCCATCTCCGACACCTGGCCTTGTCACCTCCTCCCACGACGCTGTGCGTCGCCGACAGCTCCAGCGTCGGCTCTGTTGCTGCCGTTGCAGCTGCCACAGGTGGCTTCACCGCTGCAGGGGGTGGCACACCGCCAGCACTGCGGGTTGTGGTGTCCGCATCGGCATCCTCGAAGACGGCGTCAAGGCCTCACATGGAAATATAAGTTGGATGATGTTGGAGGAGCTGGTTTCAAGATCCTGTGGAAGTCTCAACAACTCCATGTGCTGCAATGAGATCGGTCGCCACGTCTGTGCTCGGACGTGCTTGGGCCCAGTGGCGATGACCCTCAGATGGCAAGCGGTGGAGTGGACCTCGTTCTTCCCAAACATAGTCGTGTGTCGACTTGTTGTAGATACCTCATCCATGCAAGATGACAGAGTGGCCAATGAACATTGAAGGACACCTGGAACTGTTGCTGGACAAGTCCGAATTCTAATTAATGATCTGTACTATCTCAACCAACACTTCAGTCTGTAGAATATCATAGAATATCTCCAAGAACAACTATCATACATACTCATCACTTGTCCTGTCTAATACATAGTTTCTGTAGGACTTGACCACCCGAGGCACAGAACTTGAACTCCTCCTTCACCGCATTGATAGCTCCCTCCCAAAGACGGTCACGCCTTCAGCAAGCGACCAAGATGCCATATTGAAAAGGGAATCCAAATAGGATCAGTTGGCACCATGGAAACCGACAAATGCATGGACAACTGCACGGAAACAGCGTCATGTTCTACAACGAAAAGCAAGCATGGGAAGGGTCACTTGTAGTTGTCTGGCCGCTCCTTCATCCGATGCAATTGTTCTTCCAGGTCTTCTTTGCAATTCAAATTCAGAAAATCACAGGTGTCTGGCAGCCCGGAAATGTGTCCCACACAGGTCATCTAAAGGAGACAGAACTATACATAACTTACTGTTAGAATCTGTTAGAGAAAGATGTGCAGCCAGTACGACACAACAACAGCGCCATATTTGAAGCAAAAATTGTCCAAAGCATGCTGGCATGCACTCACTGGAAACCCAGCTTGACTTGATAATTAGGCACCAATCTTCTTGTTTCTTCAAGAATCCGCATCAAACGGAGTTCATCCAAGCTGGGAACATCATTCGAGCCAGAATTTGACTGGATTCAGATCTGCCGGGCCAGGTCATCTCCCGTCAAGGTCAAGGCGCCCTCCTTGCAGCTGGGGCGACTTCTTGGGATCCCAGCCGCCCAGCGACGGTGAGCCGCCGACGATGCCTGAGGCACCGCTTCGGCGTTCCGCTTCGGCGTTCGAGCCGAGGTCTGTATCACATTTTGGTCAAGGTGCACACAGCTGCTCCGGGTGCGGCACTCGCCTGACAGACAGTTGATTTTCAAAACGGTGGTCCCGAGTAAGCTGAGCAGCCAATAGTCCCAGTCCACAATGGTGCTGGTTGCCTGGTTTCTGATCTGAGCATCTTGTCCGAGTCCGTGGCAGTTCCAACTTGCAAAGAAGGAAGATGCATCATCTTACTCCTGAATCTCGAAAAGCTGCAAGAAACCCACTTGCCAGCATAAGAGTCGCTCATTGAACCTTCGAAGCATTTGTTACCCCCTATGATTTGCCCAATCCATATCTGTTGGTTCGCCGGATTCCATGGCCGTCCCACGTCTGCCTTCTGTGCCCTCTCGCCCAGAATCTTCACCGAGACAGTGCAGCTCATGGAAGCAAAGGCATCCAGCAGGCCCACCCAAATGAAATGATTCCAGACAGCGTGGAGACTGCACTGAGGTGGATAAGTCAGGTTGGAAAACTGGATGCGTCAATGTTCTCTGAAAAAGATAAAGTAAAAGTAACACTCTTTGGTTTGGTGGTACTTGTCTGTCATCTCTCTTCCGCTATTGGAACGCCACTGGGCTTTTGTGGAGTTGTGAATAACCAGCTGAGGCGAAGCTCCAAGGCCGACCCCAAGCCAGTTCCAAAAGAATGGCCTCAAAAGAGAAAATGTAAAGAAACGAAGAGGCCTCGCAAACTCAGAGATCGAAGAATACTCGCTTTTCAATTTCAGGCCTGTCTCTCTTCTTCATTAGACTCATTAGACTGTGTGTGTGTCTGATTCGGTAGCACAAATGGCTGCAGGATAGATAGAAATGATGCCTGGTGTCAGGTTTCAGGTCAATACAACACATAGGATTCAGGATTCATAGGATCTTCACAAATAGCAAGCATGAAATTGCCGTCTGCAAAGCTCAAGTCACTTCGGACGCAATTGTCACTACTTTGAACTATGAATCCTTTCCGGTCAAAAAGCCTCACACTGACTTTTTTGGAAATTCTTACCAAAGACCAGCGTGCTTGCACGGCAGCATCTTGGCACATGCAGCGTGCGAAAATGAATTCTGGGGTCACAGATCAAAGTCCCCAGCCCAAATCTGCCAACAAGCCCAGAAGGGCTTTTCAGCTGGCCATGACCTGGTCGCACAGACCTCTGTACATCCTGGTCGCTGAGGAAGACATCTTCCCATTCACAAGCCCGGCCATGGATGACCCACAGACCGCCTTGGACCTTGTATTGGGGACCTGCATAATAAATCAACATGAAACACCGGAAGCCATCATCTGCTTTCCCACTCGTATGCCCTATATGTATGTAAGTTTGTCCTTCATAGGGGGGGTTGCTTTTGTCCACGCGGAGTGAAAAATTCCCTCCCCATCTACGGTGAGTCCAAGCTGCCATGTCAGCCCTCGACCGTTGGCTCCAACCTGTCCCCCCGGACGGAGGAGCACACGATTCTTCAGATCTGCGAACGCAGTCCTACCAGTCACAGGAAGCAGTCTCGTCATGTCTCGTCAATCTTTGCTAGTTGGGAACTGAGCTTTGTCATTTGTCTATCCGCCTCTTCTTGCAAGATTTGCTGCTCCCATGAGATCGAGAAAATGCAGTGTGTATGCAGACCCTCTATGTAGAAATAGTGGCCGCAGTCTAACTTTCAACCCTGAGAAAACCGCAATGATTACAATATTGACTTTGGAAACTGCCAAGACCTATTCGTTCCCACTTCGCAGCGACGGCCAACCTAGTTTGGAATCCATTATAGTGGTCAACTCCATGGTCCTCCATTGCTCGAGGTTGAAACATTGCATAAAACAATTGTGATTCTTCCTGTGAAAAATGATTACATGCTCTGCCAGAAAGATCCGTACCAGATCCGGCCACAGCTGCCCCATAGATGTGCCAATGTGGAGAGAACGAAGATGGGCAAATGTCTGACCCTCTTGTGCGAGCATAGAGAATGATTGAGCAAATAAAAATTTCATTCAGGGCCATGTCAAGCCCGAACATCCATGGGGCCATGGCTTTGGAAAATCCCCGTCGACCGAAAAATAAAAGAGATTCAGCTCGAGCGGGTGGAAAAAAGATTAACACCGAGGGGCTGCTCGGTGCGCGTCTTCGCATGTCTTCGCAGTACAGAGAAATGGCGTCGCAACACGTCTGTGTTTGAGAAGAGTGACCCGTGCTGGTCGAATAAATGTAAGCATGACAGTGGCTAAGACCAAAGACCATACTGCTCCGACCTAGGTCGCAAGGCCCCCAGGAATCGTCCGCAGGGCCACCTAGAGAAGTCTCCATCAAGTGCTGGCACTGCTTCTACCAAAGGAGACCCGGCTGGAAAAAGGGACTGCGAGTCGCGAGCGACCGTTGGTGAGGTATGATGCCTGCACCTCGAGCAAAAAAATCCTTTGCAGCCTCCGTGTCATGGCTATCCACGCCCACGGTGTGCTCCCACCGAAGCTGTTTAACAAACCTCCGAGAAGGTTGTGCTCAACGGGACATTAGAAGCGCCCGCCGCGGCCATGTGCTCCCACGTCCGGAGGTTTTCGCGGACGAGCCGCGCCAGCTCGGACATCTCCTGCGCGTGTCGGGCGAGGTGGAGATTAGAGAGAACTGCGAGGCGATGTGGATCAGATTGCATTGATCCAAGTGGATGACCCTACTGTGCAACTAGGATCCACTAAGCATCTATAAAAATGCACATGTCTCGTTTGTTGCCTGCCATTAGGCGCCTTGGGGATCGTCTCTACTTGGAGCCGTGAACAGAGAAGGTAGGAAGAGTGTAGTTAAAATCTGAAAGATCATAAAAAATACTCAACCCTGGATCGGGTGTTGATTGCATCAGACCTCAGACCACAAACAAAAGGGGAATGCTGGGGGAGAGCTCGCATTGATGGAATCGAGGTCACCTTCGAAACAGGATACCAACTGCACTGAAACCTCACAGATTAAAGCTGTGGGAATACAAGTAGGAGGCCTTTCATAAACCAGTATGCTCCCCTCAATGAACATCACTGCTGTCACAAAAATGCCCTTTGTGCTACGGAAGTTGGGCACGAAAAACAGATCAGTGTGAACAATTTTTTTCTGCACTTTATGCACTCTCTACACGTCAATCCCTGGGTCCAGGGAAAGCAAGAAAAGACTAAGCAGGTCTGGTAAACCTATCTCAGCACTCTCAGCACCATGAGGCTCCCGTCCTTTGCATGGCCCAGGTGAAAGCGCTTCAACTGGTGGCTGGCAAATGACGTCACCGTATGAGGTTCGTCCCACTGCGCCAGATTCAAACAATGTTTAAACTGTCAAACAATGTTTAACAAATTCTTTTCCAATTCCATGTTTACTGTCCGAAACTCTAGCTGGTCGAAACGGTCACATGGATGATGAAACGTGTCACAGCAATTCACAAGAGCACCACGAGAATATAGAGGGCCACCGGAAATCTTCATCTCATCGTCCCCTAACCACTTGGGTTTCGGAGACCATCTCACCATATCTCAACCGGAGTTGGAACGCTACTTCCCTGACGTGGCCGAGGTCTGCCTCACGAGCCAGGAGGATCAAGTCGGAGGACCTGCGGCTGCGGAGCTTCAAGGTAGAAGCAGTGAGTGGAGGTCTCGGGTGTTCGTTCAACACCACACGATTGGGTTTAGCGTAAGGAACTCAATCGTCACATCAGGTGCTAGTTGGATCAAAACCAAATGGACCATGGCAAAAGCTGCGTTTCTCCAGCCAAACAAACCAGGCAACCATGCGCACAAGGCCTAGTCCGGTGTGATCAATCAATCCCAGCTCTCCATCTGTCGCAGTCCCCCTTCCGTGGCCCAGCTGCTTGGCTGCGCCGTTGAGCCGCAGTGATCCTTCTAGGAACTCCTCGAAGTTGATCTGAGGCGAAGAATTCTTGGCGTGGAGAGACTTTTGGGAGACATTGAGGTTGGAGTGTTGGTCACAAGGCTGAAAAGCTGCCCGAAGAATGGAGCTTCGCCTGCATTCGCTTCAGAAAAGGATTGGACACGGGAGGAAAACTAAACACCCTCACACCTTAAGAACGTCTCAATTCTGAGGTCCTGGTGTTCGACGGATTACCAACTCTTGCTTGACCCACAACATGATAGGATGCCAAGTGCCCAATTGCTTAGAGGTGGTGAATCCAAACATCTTATCCACCCGTCAGCCGCCGCCCACGCACGCCTTGCCGTTCCCATCCAAGTCGATCACCTCCAGGAGGTTCTTGGCCTCGGCACCGAACTACCTACTACTACATGACTCAATCATTCGTCACTCTTCGATGTCCCCCTCCAAACTACCCATGGCGTTTCTAGCAATGCGTGGGTTCAAAGTTCCAAATGGCTTCCCATCATGTTCCTGACTTGGGCCTTGTCAAGAAACAAAAGCAACTTCGGTGCCCTGTGTCAAACTGTTGGGCTCAGAATGTGTTCAGGGTCTGTCTTCACCCTGGCCTCATCTGGATGCACGTCGATGGTTTCGAAGAACTCTTGCCTCAGTCGCAGCTTGTCCATACCCGGCCCTCCGGCACTGAAACTTGAACGCTTCCACTCCCTGAACCGTATCACCCTACCAACATGGCGAAGGCACACGGCCGCGTTGGTCGTGTGCTCCAGGATCTCATCCGGGCTGATGTAACCCGAGGCATCCGTGTCGATCTCCTCAGTGTTACTATATGTCCAAACGGAAGCTTCTAATCCGACTGCCAAGCCTCAATGTTGGTTCCTTGCCGTAGTTAGCTACAGAGCACTACGGTCAACAGTAGTTCCAGTTCCTCCATGCGTTCCTCCGTTCGACTCTGTGCTGCCACGCCTTGAAGAGCCGTCGCGCCTGGACAATGCGCCCGCGCAGGTGCAAATCCTTGGCCTCGAGTGCCCATGCGACGACGGAGCAGTAAAGAGGTAAAGAGTGTCGTCAAGTCTCAATGTTTGGGCTCAGGGTAGAAGTGCATGTACCTTCATGCCTCACCCAGAGCTATGATGGGTAAGGTCGTCATGAAGCTTGTATGGTCACTCTGTTAAAACACAGGCACGCTCTAGCTTCGTTGAACACAGCTTTCTCGCCTGCTGACTCATGGTCTCCACAAAGGTGCCTGTGATCCTCAGTGTTCAATCGTGGGAGGCAACGCAGAGCCTCACTCAAGCAATGGGGCAATGGATCTTGAAAAGATGTTTGTACATCAATGGCTCAACCATCACCCGCGTGAAATGTTAGAGATATTAATTGCCGAGATGTTCCCATTATAGAATATGAACTTCAAAGGGAAGGAGGGTGTTCCAGGATCCTAACAGCTCAGTAGTATTGGCCACCCTTCGGTCTTGGTGACTAGCCACATACCGAAGTCATGTCTCCTCATGCCCAGGCAAGCGACACATTCAGCAGGGCCAAAATGCAAAAGGCCATGAAGATCACGAAGAGAAGGCCGAACCAGGGTGAGATACCATTCCTTGGGTCCAAGATCAGAGTCTTGAAGCACAGAGGGAAGCGAGCAAGTTCCTGTTCTTGAATCCAGAGGAGTCCGAGGGAGTCTCAAGCGGTCCAACGCACACAATATCCATCAAACAAATAGCAAAATCTGCTTTGGCCAGGTGAGCTTCATCAAAGGCTCCGAAATCTGATGCCAATCGACCCCACCTGGCGGAGCTGAGTCAAAAGGTCGATTGCGAAACTCCCTTCACATCTAGGCCCAAAAGACTTGAAGTTTAGGGCAATCCTCTCTTCACATTCTTCAAGACTTCTAACATTTGGAGTGAGGCATGTCTCTACCATTTCCCACCTGCGATGCCCTGGAATAAGGAGAGCACGCTCAACGGCCTTGGGATGGCCACACCCGGCTGACGCACCTTCAAAGCTACTAGTAGCGATGCCCTTGTTACTAGTAGCTTCTAGCTACTAGCTGAAATTTTGATGAATGTTGAGGATCTTTCTGGCACATTAGGAACTGATCCTCGAATGCCTGCAGGACACAAGGACCCCAGGCAGGGAACACAATCTTTGGTCTGAGGTGTGCTCTGCATGGTTACCATAAGATTCTGATCAAACCCAAGGCAAACGAGACCAAGGTTGCCAGTCCGACCACATAACTTGCAGATGAGGAACAACGAGCCCCACCACTTGGCGATGTCCTTCGCAGGAGTCCGTCCAAATCTGGAACCAAAACTGGTGGATGTTGGAATAGAGAAGACCCAGTGACTTCATGATCATTGTCATTCCTTCATATTCTATCTCCAAGGTTTTGAGAGTGTCTTCCTACGACTAGTTCGCGGCAACGTAAAGGAATGTTAGGACGCTATTAGGTGGAGGCCATCGCAAGTAGGTTGGAGGCCATCGCTACTATATAGTAACAAGAAGCTACTAGTATCAAGGATATGGTATTTTGTTATGCAAGCCTCATTGAAATCATTGAAGCGAAATATCAGGCGCACATGGTGGGGGATGGGCGCTGGCCTTGGCGTAGATGCCCTCGCTGCTCTCCAGGCGGTAGGTGGTGGCTGCCTGCGTCACATAGACCGCCATGACGTAGATGGCCTTGCACTGGATGGGCCCTAGAAATGCTTTCGTGGCAGATTCAAGGTATAGGTGGTACTGTGGAACTCAAAGTAACTAAAGTTCGAGAATAGCAAAGTCTTAACCTGCCCTGTGGCTACAAAAATGTAAAAAACTCGCACATCAGCTTTGGTCCAAGAGACCATCATCAGTAGCAAGGCCGACCACACGAACTGCCTGGGAGCTCAGAGCTGTCAACAAGGGTGCCGAGTACCGCTGGACGTGTTCATTCGTCAGCAGAAGGGTGAGACGAATTATCGTAGCAAGAACCATCTTTGCCCTTGGGAATAGAACGAAGACAGGGGTGGACACGGACAATTTCTTGCCTGCTGAACTTGCCACTGTCAGGTTACCTACAACAACTATTCAACAGGTAGAGGAGGATTGCAGCCTTTCACGGCCGCCTATGGCCGATTCCTGATCCACTCGATGCTGGTATCACTTCTTCCCCATACAGGTTAGCTGCAGCTAAGATGCTTCAGAGACAGGAGGAGGCAGTTGATCAACAGCTGCAAATCCTGTGTGCATTACTGTGGCTTGGTTGGCATCTTTTTGTTGCTGCCAAACAGACCTTCGAGAACAACTTGCACAACATTTTCTTACAACAAACACATGAGGGTCATTGAGGGACAAACATCATCCTACATCCCTGCACAACTTGGGCCAACTGTCCAAAGCCGGCTGAAAGGAATCAACTCAAGGCTCACTGAAGTTGTCCAAAAGTTCTTCCAACAGCCCATGGCCGGCAGCCATCCTCGGCCATTCTTAGCATGCCGACCAAGCGCAAGACCTTGATGACACGCATGATCCGCACGGCCCGCATCACCTGGGCACCGCACGGACATGAGCGAGCTGTTAGGGCCCAAGGTATATGGGTGGTGAGATTCCGTGGCAAATGGTTGCAGGGAGTGGGCACAAAACAAGCCTTCTGCGATGGTCATGAAAGCCTGTTCCAAGAAGTTCAACATCAGAAGCAGCACAGAGGTGCTTCACAGGTTCCTCATGCAGGCTAGGTGGCGTCAGCATTGGACTGCATTCCTCCGGCAATGGCCAACAGGAGCTCCTCCGTGACCTCCGTGCAGGACGGTACATGCAGGTGGTGAAGGTCTCTTCGCAAATGCTGACTGCCAATATTGATAAGGGATATCATTTGGCGGTCACGCAACGTCTCAAGTGCTCTCATGCGCTGAGACTTGCTGAGGCGAACAAAAACACATCAGAAGTGTGGAGCCTGTGCGATCACCAGGATGATATCCAGTATGTTCCAAGCGCAGCCGGTCCTTGGAGCGCTTCCAAGTTCGGTCTCAACGACTGGTTTACATTCTCATCTGACAGATCGGTCTTCATCCCAGGCACATTACAAAGAACTTCTTCCCGAAGGCCACCAGCCTCAATGTGAGCTCCAGACCTTCAGCGAACCGCACAGCAATCCCAAGCGGTGAGTCCAAACAAAAGAGCTGTTGTGAGCAACTTACAGAGGATGCCGGAAGGGTCCGGAAGGGTAGCCTCTACAGACTTCGTTGTTGTGATCCTTGCTGAGATTCAACACTACCATAATAGTCCAGGTCACTGAAGAAGATGCAGAAGATCATGTCCATGGTACGCAGGGCCTGCGGGTCGTGTGCAATCGTATTCAACCGTATTGTGCAAATTCTGGCTCTGGCAAAGTCCAGTCATGTTTCCCGTAATCATTGTAGTCACGCACCCTCCACGTGTCTTCTCCATTCGAGAACATCAACAACAAAAGGAAAGTGGTGCTTTGTACATTTTTAAGCAGTGCCATCACACACACTCACACTCTTGCTCCCACCTGCGGCACTGAGGGGACCTGGTTGACGGCCATGTAGTCGGTCTGCACCCCAATGGCAATGGCATTTGCCAGGAGCATCAACATCCTCTGTCCGCTCTGTCGGACAGATCTGGGGATCATCTGTTGCGGTCTTGAGCAAGGATGTGAGCTCATCCCAACACACGACCAGTACTTCCTGTTTGTCCTATTCCAACTCGTGAGCATGTTTAAAGAATACTCACCTCTTGGCCCCCTCCCACAGACACCAAGCTTCGAAGCAGTTTCGAAGACGGTGTGCGTCACCAGGCGCAGCACCCTCGTCCGGCAGGAGGAGATGCCCTCGACAGACTGCAAGGGATCCGTTCCATCAGTGAGGGAGAAACACGAGCGGGCCATGGTGGGGCCATAGGTAGGCGCTGTCTGGGAGGAGAAGCTCATGATGTAAACCCTGGAGACCCTGGAGATGAACAGCATGCTCCCCATCAACCAAATCTGCGGGCCTCGAAGCGGGCGCTGCCCTGTCGTTTGAGACCTTAGAAAGGCTGGGGTGCAAAACAAACGTAGAGCAGCTCTTTTCCAGAAGCCAAACTGAAAGGCCGATTCAGCCACTTCAATCTGGTTTCCATGCGAACACGCTTGAAAGAGATGTGGCGAAGCACAACTGGGCCATCTATCCTCTCATGTGTTTCTTCTCTTCAAGATGGCTCTTCTCGAATGCTGGCAACAAACAACCGAGGTCTTCGCCATCCCCCGACCTGGGAGTGTAAGGTTTCACCTGTGCTGAGTCTCCCCACCAAAGGCCCATTCCATGACCTTTGGCACAAGTGAGAAACATGGTGTGAAGAACTGAGGTGTCCACCTCCTTCTGGTCTCCACTACCTGTTGCCTTTCTCAAAGAAAAAACAGGAAAACACCAAAAGACTCCCAAATCCTGCAGGATCGTTCGGATCGTTCAACAGAAACCTGCGGGCCCAATCGTGTGGTGCTCCTCCACGACTGTCCAAGCCACAGAGGCTCTCGTTGGCCGCTTGGGCTGAGTGGAGTGATAGGACCGCGCCTGATGGACACAGCTGCTGTAGCTTAAAAAAGAGGAGTCTCTTCACACAGTCCAGTCACTCTGGAGAAAGCTTCAAGGTGGTCTCCAAGCAGCAGACAAAACAACAAGCTCCGAGATGGAAACAAACAGAGAGAGAGAGAGAGAGCAGGGCAGGGGGGGTTAAACATGCTGTCCAACATTGGTTTGTGGCAGAGGTGGTGGTTGCTGACTTCCCAACAAGGCACTCCACACTTTCGAAGGGAAGCGCATTCAGTCACGGTCAGGAAATAGAGACTCCATGACAAGTCAGAGTGGTTTTCGATCCCAACAAAGTTCTTAGTGCAAAAGTATAGGCATTGCTAAAACAACAATCGACAAATTTCCCAGTGGTGACATCAATCTGACCTGCAGCAACCATTGTCCAGATGATCGTGAATGGACTTTATATATAGTCACTTTAGCTGCTTCACCCATCAACTCCCAGTCCGACCGAACAACTGCCTGCCGAGAAATGCTGTCAGCCGGTGTCTGCGAGTCCTGACTTCGAGGTCACATTGAGACATGGCACATCAAATTGAGTCAAACTCCGTGAGAATGGGCAGAGGATCCACGAATGTGTGGCGCTGTGAAAAGTCTCACATAAAGTATCGCCAGCCCATATGTTACATCACCCTGAAGGATCCCCAAGTCCGCGAACACGCTGAACACGCCGAGCCGCAGAGTTCTTGAGGTTCATGGATTCTTCCACAGCGGCCAGGCGCAAGGCGGTAGCTGGTCCATCTGGAGGAGCCTGTGGAGGATGCGCCGCGGTACCGAGTAGAATTTAAGGCAACTACTGGCAATTTGACAATCCAAATAGGTGCGGCAGGTGTGGACATGTGCTCCATGCACTTGAGCTCTGTGAAGTGTTTCACTGGTAGGGCTAAAGACTCACTCCTCTCAAAATCCCCATCCGGCTGGGCTGACCACCGGCTCATGCGTGGGATGCACACGATCCACACTGGGCAGGTTGACCATCATCCCATGCGTCCGCTCTTGGTCCTGCAACGTGGATGGTGGCGTGGACAACGCTTTGCCTCGTTTTCCTCCATCAAAGCCAACCTTGTGGGCCATTGAAAAGAACTTCGCCTCTAATTAATTATTGCAGCGGCGACTGAGTCTGTTGACGATTCCTCGAGCATGGCCAGGATTTTGGATGAGAGAAAGGAGCGCCGATGCCGCTTCAGCCAGTCATGGCAGTCCTTGGGATCACAAGCCGTCTGGTGGCCAAGACCAAAGAGCACCCTGGGAATGTACAGACTTTGAAAGGAAGGCAGATATGTTTGTAGAGATTTGATAGCCCTAGCAAAAGCCACCCACGAAGGAAGGATCCATGAACTTCTTTTACTAAATGGGTTAGAAGCAACCCATCCCGCAATGGCTGCCCATCCGCTTCGCTGCGTTTGGCCAAGACTCCTGGGAGTTGACCTGCCCACCTGGCGGGGAAATCGACTGAGCTGGGTATCCAAACCTCCATTGAGAGTTTCCCCCCTCACGTCACCTGCAGTCTCCACCACCCATCTCCGACCACGCCTGAGTTATCTGCATCAGCGAAGGACCACCGCTGCTCGGTCGACCCAGCTTTCTTCAGCGCGGTGTCTACAACATCCCGGAGCTCCTGTAGCGATGATGCAAGGATCCTCCTTGAGGGATGAGAATCTCAGAAGAGCCTAAATAAGGATTCTTCACCTGCTACTTAGCTACTTGAAAATAAGGATGCTTCCAGCGCAATACACCCACAATCCTCATTGTCATGATCTCTAATTCTTCTCACCAGTGGGCTTGGATCACAAGCTTGAGTGGATTCAAAAACAGATTGGCTGGCCATTGTGGCAGTGCCTGTGAGACCTCGCTCACCAGCTGCAGGCGCAGCTCCGCGAACTGACACCTTCGACTGACGGAAGGACGGAAGGACAAGGATCCTGAGCCTTTTTGTGCGTGTTTGCTGAAGTGCTGTAGTCACGGAGAGCAAGTGTTCTTCTGACGACTGACCTGTCTACCAAAAACAACATCCTCTTTCCGGACTGTTCAACGAATCTATGATTTTCTGACTTTTGAGCCCTGACAGGCCGAATCCCGTGTTTCCTAACCCTCGCCTGATCAGCGCCGACAGGTTTTGCCACTCAGCCGCCATCCGAGGGCAGTGCTTCAGTGCGAAGAGCTTGAAAGCTGCGGTCGGGTCGCGGCGTCAGCCGTGGTGACTACGGGGGTCCTGATCGCTTCTGGGTGGGTTGATCTTGTCGTCGAAGTTCTTTTGGGGGCTGCATCCGGCAGGAATCTGGTATATACATTTATGGCATTGCTTGTGCACACTGCGGTAACATTCCAGGTGTCTTGAACAATGTTGAGAATGCAGCATCAAAACCAGAATTGCAAGCTTCGTCTGATTGCGGCGTCTAATCGACCGCCTTCGGCGCACCTCATGTGCTATGTTGGCAAGAATCTCATTAATCGGCTGAGGGGTCTTGTTCCCAACTCAACTTTCAGAGCTTCATCCTTTTAAATGTGCTTCTTTAATAGTGTTCTCCTCCTACATGTCGGGGATCGCAGAAATCTCACCAAATGTTGGGACACATATTGCTCCGACACTTCAAAGTTCATTAGACTCCCAACCCTGCACGACTTCAGTTATGCTGAGCTTTTTCGCGTTTTTGCAGGAACATTGGTCCCGTACAACAGCTGGATGAACCCGCGATCCTCTCAAACATAACAAAAACAGCAGCTGAACACCCCTGTGTCTATGCTTTGGTTTAGCGTGCAAGACTTCAGGCTCAAACCCCGTACGTTTTGAAAATCGAAAGAAAACACACACAACTCAAAGTGGGTTGTTCAACCAGCATGGATAAAGCTAAATGATATCTCACCAAGAACATGTTCCGTGAATTGCATTCAGCTTTTATTGCTTGGCGTCCTATTCTTTTTATTTAGTCGCGTTAAGTCTTTAAGCTCTCTTTTGTCTCCTTTGTAATGCTCTTTCCATACTTCCCTTTGCCAAAATGTTGAAGAGGCTATTGATGGTAAAACCAGGTGAATCCAGTTGCTCAAGAAGAGGGAGAGAAGCTTTGTTAACCAACATGATATACTTGCAAATAGATATACAATCCTGTCAAAGTTGGTTAAGCCATGTTGGTAAAGCCAGGTTGGTAAAGCCAGGTGAGTATAGTATGAAAGGCTGATGTATGTCAACAATGTGACAATAGCGTAATAGCTCCAAGAAGCGATGCAAACCTTGTGATGTTCTCCTCTAGCCCCAAGACAGTTTGGTTGGTCCAGCTCTGGTCCTGCAGCCCATGGCCACTTGGTAGTCACTTGGCACATGGGCGATGAGCTGCCTACTTGGTAGGTTGCTATACAAAATTCATAGCACTGCCTGTGGCAGATTTGGGACATGCCCCTTTATCCCTATGGTCATTTAAGTAAGGAGAAAGAATCCTGCCACTCGGCATTCAGAATCAACACACAGAAGAATGAAGAATTGAACCATCACCATCGCAGGTGCCTCCAGCAAGTACAAGGGCCTTCCCTACGGGAATGCCTCTATACCTGCAGCTTCCTTCTGGTTGGTATTGAGTGTCAATGCATGTTACCCTTTGAGGGAGAATGTTTGCTTCCCAGTTTCGTTGTCCAACTGAAGTTTGCAGGTTCATCATTTCAGGAGTGGGAGCATCAACGGAAAGGAGAGATTGTCCAAGCTGCCATACTGGCCAAAAGTCAATACGCAGAGCAACATTTGGCAAGACTCAACCAGACCATGTTAGGAAGCTCCAGGAGTCTGAGATATTCATCGAATTTCACCGTCACTCTTCGACCTATCTGATCTTTGGCACAGATGGCCAAGACACATGCGAAAGCCGAAGACGCACCGAGAATCATTGTGGAAGTGTCTTGAACTTGCCACGCAAGCCCAGGCCAAGGCTCAGGCTGCAAGCGATCTGCGACATATCGACCCGCCCGCAGCCAGGCCCGCCCAGTCTTGCAACTTGGTGGAAGTGGTCATTTGGCACTCACGCCTCGAAGGAATAAGCTTTCACAAAAATGCCTCACGACACACACTTACAATTGACAAACCTTTGGTTCCCCATCCAATAAATAGTGTTGTTGATATTGCTTCTACGCTTACGTACAACGTTTTCGCAAGCGTGGAGCTAATACACCCTGAGCATGTCACTTCCACTGATGCAGCAAGCATGCAAACCTTAAAACCGGCAGAGAGCCTGCAAGGTCAATCATTTGAAGTTCAGGCCAACCATTGCTGGCTCAAACTCTCTCAGGCAAGCGCTTCTTGGATCAAACTTCGACAGACACCTTGCAAGCTTGCCTTGCGCTCTCGGAACTCTTGTGCTCCGCTCCCCGCATTCGCGGTCACGTGAAACGCCCCATATTTTGGGGCGGCACAAGGAGGTCAAGGAAGTCAAATGGCCTGCCGATGCACCAGTCACTGTCGAGGGCAGGCATTCAATGAATGACCATAACAAAGCAAGGGTGTCTCGTAATCTACAGGAGTCCGCTGTCCCGAAAACTTGATGCGAACCTTTCTTCAAGAGTCGGAGCCGAGGAGCCAAAAAGTAGACGTAAAATCCTTGCGCAGTCTGTATGTGATGTCAGTGTTTTCTTCTTAGTGTCGTGCAACTGGAACACGGGTTTGAATCAAATTGAATCTTGACGCATTGGGTTGGTGGAAGAAATGGATCCAGAACCACCACAGACTATACTGTAATCATAGAAAAGGCTTCCACAGTCCACAAAAACGCAGGAAACGGTGGTGACAGCGAACGCTGACATGTCCAATTCTTATCTGATTCGATTCAACCTCGATTCACAAACACACAGAAGACAACAATCCTTGCAACTCCACCAAGCGTACGAAACCAATTGAAACTGCGTTGCAGCTCATCCCCCGAGAATCTTCATCCCTTGCCCTGCCTAAACCAGGGCTGCCTTGATTTCCGCCAGCTCGCGCAGCTGCGTCGTCTGGCACAGCTTGGGCGTCGCCGGGGACTTTCTCATTTTGTTCAACCGCAGGTAGGCTGCACAAATAATCAGCATAGTCAGAGGTGGGTGGGTCCACTCAAACTAAAACAGAAGTTAAAAGTTTTAGGGTGCTTGTGATGAATTTCGACATCTGTGAGGCCCGTCCTGGACATGAGTTGCTCTTCAAAAAGCTGATCTTTCTGGGGTGGCTGGCTCAAAACAAGCTGATATCTAATATGTTGAAAATCCTCACAACGGTACCCAACACAAGCAGCCTGGTTAAATGCGTCCGGAGGCGTGTATAATTCATTTGAATTTGGGTTTGCCGTTCAAATTGGGCAGGTTCACTGTCTGCAACAACCAACAAAAGGGTTACAAAGAACACACCATCTAATTACTTTGAAATCCTCTCCTCTGACCCACCAACATTCATCTCTCTTTCGCAGCAGCATCCGCACCTGGAATCGCTTCATTTCCCTCGCCAGCATTATGAGATCGGAAGACTTGGCAGAACCGTTCAGCCGCAATGAGCCTCCAAATCCGGAGGGAGAAGGTTCTCCAGAGAGACAGACAGAGAGAGAGAGAGAGGGAGAGAGGGAGAGAGGGAGAGAGGGAGAGAGGGAGAGAG